AATACGTGTTTCTTTATTTTTAACAGGCAATTTTTTTATAACAATTTTAAAATTATTAAACACGTAGGTGTACAAATAGCAAAATCAACTTTATTTTTTCAAATGTAAACTCCTATATTTTTTAATGGATCCCGTCAAAGCTTTTTTTCTAAAAATGTTGATAGTCAAATCATCAATTTTGGTTAGTTTCTTAAATATGGTCGTCTAAAGTTTAGTAAAATATGCATTATAGTAGGTACTTTTAATTGAAATAATTGGTATAGGTTTTATTTACAAGAGTTGAATAAGTTTTTCGTATAACTACCTTTTTATACACTTAAGTAGTTTAATCGGTAATTTAATGACACTCTCAAAAAAAAAAAAGGAAACATAATCCAAAATTGTTGGCAAACATAGTTCATTATATTTATTTTAACATAGAATCATCAAAATCAGTATTATTATTTTAATTTGTTATAATATAGGTAATCGTAATTAATTACTTCGCAGTTACTTTTCTTATAACTCTCCTCTTCCAATGTATCCGCCTCCTAGAGCTTTTACCCCTGGTGAAGTTGAATTTAATCTTAAGAAAAACTCACCGAAAAAATCTCCTGGTTTTGACTTAATTTCGACGGAAGTGGTCAAACACCTTCCCAGAAAAACCATAATTTTCCTAACACAAATTTACAATGCTATGCTTCGTTTATCATACTTTCCTATATTATGGAAATATTCTATCATAATACTAATACCAAAACCAAAAAAACCCCCTGACTGTCCTTCCTCATATAGGCCTATAAGTCTCCTACCAACTCTCTCCAAACAATTTGAAAAACTTTTTCTCAAACGAATACTGCCAATAGTTGATGAAGCTAAAATACTACCTGACTCTCAATTTGGTTTTCGCAACAGTCACTCAACGATCCATCAGATTCATCGCCTGGTTGACAAAATTTCATTTGCCCTAGAGGAAAAATTATACTGCACTGGTGCTTTCCTTGACGTCTCCCAAGCTTTCGATAGAGTCTGGCACTCAGGCCTCCTATATAAATTAAAACCTATCCTTCCTAGTCACTACTATCTGATCCTCAAATCCTACCTCGAAGATCGGTTCTTCTCCGTACGTGTAGGTTCTTCTTTCTCCTACTGAAATAAAAGCAGGCGTTCCACAAGGCGCAGTAATTGCTCCCCTACTCTTCAATCTCTACATCTCCGACCAGCCTACTTCACCCCATACCTTAGTCGGTGATTTTGCTGACGACAAAGCCATACTAACAACCAGCCCTGATCCTGTTTTAGCCTCCTCCTACATACAAGATCATCTCTTCTCCCTTGAATCGTGGTACAAAACATGGGGAGTAAAAATGAACGAAACCAAGTCCATCCACGGTACCTTTGCACTTCGTCAAGGAGTATGTCCAACACTTTATCTCAACAACCAACCACTTCCCCCTGCGCAATGCGTACGTTACCTCGGTATCCTTATCGACCGCCGTCTCACTTGGAAACCTCACATAATTAACAAAACTCGTACACTAAATGACCGCTTCCGGCTCCTTCGTCCACTTCTAACATCAAAGCACATGAAACCTTCCAACAAACTCCTGCTCTACAAACTCCTACTCAGACCCATCTGGACTTATGGGATTCAACTATGGGGCGCTGCCAAAATCTCCAACATCAACCGCATTCAAAGATTCCAATCCAAAACTCTACGCACAATTCTAAAAGCACCATTCTATGTCTCTAACCACACCCTCCACACTGATCTCAAAATACCATTTGTCTCTGAACTAGCCAAAACTCATTATAAACGTTTCAATAACCGCCTAGCTCACCATAAGAATCCGTTAATCTCCGACCTATCATCTGCTTCTATCCCAGGTAACCCAGTTAAAAGACTTAAAAGACAGTGGTAGCCTAATTTAGTCCTACTCATGTCGTAGTACCTCCGCTGGGAGGCCTCTACATTCGGGATAATCTGTCATTTATTTTTATTTTATTTTATTTTTACTTTCATCAATTGTTCTTATTGTTCATGTATTGAAACAGATTGAATAAATATTTTAATTACAAAAAAAAAAAAAAAAAACTTTTCTTATAATATCAGTAATTTAGATTATTTATTAGGTGGCTAAAGTAATAATGGTAAATTGGTAAATGGTATTCGATTGTTGGCATTAATGTCTTATATATGTATGGTGTGTATGGGAGTTGAAAAATTGTGTAATGAAAAAAGTGCAATGTTTTGAGGTGCTCTTCTAGTAGTTTGATACACTTGAAATTTGAACCATATAGGTTCCCTATATTGGTAGGTATCGCACACAAAGTATGAATTTAGGAGTTGAAATTCAAAACCCTTCATATATTTTAGTTTTAGACATATACATTTTATTTAGTACTTTTCCTATCATGAATTCCTATCATACTTTTCTTACAATAGCATTAATTTTGATTCTTTATTAGGTGGCTAAGGCAATACCTAATGGTATTTAATTCTTGTTATAATATTGGAAATCTGTAATTAACTCAGATTAAAAGTATGCCTAAGTTAAGTAAAAACCTATATTGAGATTGACTATTTATCTAAATATCTTGCAATTATTTTATTTTAAATTACGATTATTAAATAATTCTTAAAAAAATTCAACTGCTAAATTCATATTTAGCATGCGATACCTACCAATATAGAGAACTCATGGTTCAAATTTCAAGTTATAAAAGTTAGTTATAAGAAAAAAATATTTAGCTCTTCAAATTAAACCTATATCAATTATTTCAATACTCTATTAATGCATATTTTACTAAACTTGAGATGAACCATAGTTAATATAAACTAGAGAACCAAAATTGATGATTTGACAATAAAAATTTTCCGAAAAAAAAGATGTACCTGCGGATCCATTAAAAAATATAGTAGTTACCATTGAAAAAATAAAAATAATTTTTTCTATTGGTACACCTACGTATTTAAAAATGTTGAAATTTTTATAAAAAAATTGCCTGTTAAAAATAAAGAAACACATATTTTTTCGTTTTAACGAAATTCTATGTCATCGATCCATAATTCCAATGATAGTTATCAGAAGCCATTTTTAAATTCAAGTTTGAATAAATGCATTATTTCGTGTATCCACGGAGAAAGAGTAGGTACAATTTATAACTTAGTTGGTCTCCTATCTATATAGGTATTTAAATTCTGTTTGTCTCATTGATAGATTGATAGACCTTAAGTCTAATTAAGACATTTCGATCTTAAAACTTGTATTTTAAATACAAAATTAGTTAAATGAGAACTATTAGGTACAAAATTTATAATACGTTTGAAATCGAATTGTTCGATAGTATTTATTTTATCTATGAACAAACTCTAAATCAAACAAAATTTAACTCAAAATATAATTATTATACATAAATTAAAAAAAAATGGAAGTCAAGGGAAGTTATTAATCAAATTAACCTAACCTAAGTGGTTGTCACTCTGTTTTAAAATAGGTTATAAGTGGGTCACTGTAATTTATGGTGTTAAATTTAAATTCAATGATATAATATCATTGTATAAGAAAAACTATTCTGAGCGAAAACGGTCAGACAGCTGCTTATGATCCGGCTTATGATATTACTAAGTATATTTTAAGATATTATTCTGAATAAAGTAATTTATTTGTAACCTATTTACATGGAACCTTGTTTTAAATTTTCAATCCTAAGCTCAAAAAGCTGAACATTTAATAAAGTTTTAACTACAAAATAATTATTAATATTAAATTTTATTGAGATTTATAAAAAAAAAAACACTAAAAAATCGAAAACCGACATTGTCCGTAAACGGCTCAAAAAGTGTCAAAATATTTTCAAAACTGTATGGCGTATAGAAAATTAAAATATAAACCTTCAGTAAAATTTTTATGTATCTAGTTATCCATTTTTGAATTACAACAAAATAACAAAATCACTACATGCGAAATCGAGTGGATATCCAATCTTGTAAACATACGAACTCCAAACGCTCATAAAAATTTAGTTTGAGTTTCTTGTATACATTTTTTTTTTATAAAGATAGAAAAACTTATGAGTAATCTTGTATTACATTTTCAAATCTTTTAGATTTAAAAAGAAAAATGTTTATGAATTCTGAACTCAAAATGATTTGCATATTTTCGTGATTTTTCCGTATTTTGTCAAGATTTGAACTTTAAATGCTTATAAAAAAAAAAAAAACTGTGATTAAGAATTTTTTAAATTTTTTAAATGTCATTGTAACAATATAGTAAGAGCCTTGTAATAATTTTTTCAATAATTTTTACTAAACAAATAATGTTTTATTGAAATTCATAAAAAAAAGACTAATAAAATTGGAAATTGAATTGCCCTAAACAATTCAAAACAAATCAAAATTGAAAATACTTTTAAAATACTTTTAAAATGTTATCGTGTATAGAAAATGAGAATATAGACAACCAGTGCGAATTAAATGTAAATACGTTAATTTGACTTAAAGGTAAAATTGAGGAAAATTACCGTTTTTCCTTAATTTATCTTTTGTTTTTCACGTTGCTTTTGAAAATTATTGGAAATTTTAAATTTTGACCTCCACAATGCACCAACAATTTGTAACAGTAATATTATAATAGTATTATAATAACGTTATACTAATATTATTCATGATTATAATGTTATAATAATATTATTAAACGAAAAATTGCTGTCTAGAAATATTCAGTTTCCCATAAAAATACCTATTTTATATGGAACTACGTTATTTTTAGAACAAATATTGAAATATCCGTATTAATATTCTTAATAGTTATAATTATTTTTTTAATAAATATATACTATGTTTTTAGAACAATGATCAATTATTTGAGTTAAATATAGCATACTTAATATATATATATAATGTTATAAATTGTATTTTTTGATAATTAACTATTATTTTATTTTTATAATAATTACAAAAAACAAATTCGTAATATTTAAATACACAAAAATAATGTTTTTTTTTCCAAGTGCCACATTTATGACGACCCAAGTATAGTGTTAATTTGTTTCGATTTCCTGTGATCCATTGGACGTCTAAATTTTTTGCGCAAGTCCGTAATAACCTTGTGCTTGGCCACAAATATAATAAATATGGTAACTCCTTGTAGACTGGTCATTACATAAGAAATGTCATATATGATCCCCTCTTCATTTTGGAATAAAGAACATATTATCCAAAAAAAATATGAGGTTCCCATAAGCAGAAATAGTTTGGTGCTCATTACAAATCTGTCAAAAAAAAAAAAAATAATAAATAAATAAAAAGTTATATTAAGTCAAATGAAAAGATTTTGAATATTTATTGACCAATAAATCAAAAATTGTTTAGAAGATTTGTATTAACTATAGTAGAGAAGACGGAACCTATTAATTTTAAATTTATCAAACGTTTAGATTAATTAATAATAACGTCATATTACCCATATAATAATATATTGTACCTATAAGCATTTTCCAACGATAATATTATTATAATAGTATTATAATAACGTTATACTAATATTATTCGTGATTATAATGTTATAATAATAATATTAAACAAAAAATTGCTGTCTATATTGTACCTACTACAGTACAGTAAAATTGATTTTTCATTATACTCATATTTGTTGACACTTATATTTTGACTTGCCTCACAGATATTATTGTTTTAAATAGTTAATACTGTTTAAATAATGAATAAATAGGCACCAAAAGTAGTTAACAGACTATATTGTATTAGGTATGTGCCCTATGTGAATGTATAGTACCCTAATGTACTCTTACTTCTCTTTGTAAACAAGAAAACTTTCTGTTTTTGAATCTGACCCTTTGAATCCGTTGATCTCAGATTTAATTCTTAAAAAATAAATAGCAGTTAGGAAGCAGATAATTAAATTGGTAGTCAACATAACACTGGAGGGTATCAGGTAGAAAATTAAAATTCCGTAGCGAGTTTTTTCTGGAAAAATATTAAATATAAATTAATAATTATATATAACAATGCAATATACAAATTTAATATAGAAAACCAGTAGCGCCGATGTTCTTTCAAAGTTATATCTCAAAATGTTAAACTTTATGCAAACTCATATATCGTCACTCGTCGTCGATTATTAGTTTTTTCCCCTTTATGAATCCAACAAAAACATTTTTTTACAGCCGTAAAAATAAGTAAATAATGTAAAAGTTAAGTGTTGCAAATAAAGTATATGAGTAATAAATATTTTTTATCAAAATTAAATTAATATTTTAAAACTGTAGGTAACAATATGTATCTTTTGTTTTTTGAAAACTTATCTGTTAAACAACTCATTATGTTTGTATGTATTTGTGTTTAGTGTAAGCTATACTTAATGTCATGTATTAATATTAAACTTATAATGATACCAACAATTATTACCTTCAAGTCAAACATTTAAAACAATCCATTTATATACTAGCTTATATAATTACCATTTACCACCACCGTCCACCAACCATTCAAAACATGTTTAGCTACCGAACTATTAAGTTAACAAAGGTTTGTTTGAATAAAAAACCTACAAATGTATTTTTTTTTAGTAGTTATGCTGTTTAAATTTTGAAGTAACTATTATTTTTATTTTGAGTTTAAAAGTTAAGTTACTGCAGTATTGCCACTCAGTGAACTACCTGGTGTAGTATTTAGAACTGTTCAAAGGAGCAGAAAATTGGCTTAAGGTATTGACGCAAAATAATTTAAAAGAGCATTTTATTTTTCAAACATTGATTCAATTCCGAAAATAATGAAAAATACCTAAATAGTGACATTCAAATTTTTGTCACTGCGTGCATATAAAATGTCCACGCATTATTAGTTTTTTGATTTTTACTATTTTTGAGGAGGAACCATATTTGCTTTCACCTTTAATGATTGAACTTATGGAAACTGATTAGAGTATTTTAGAAATAGTTGTGTAATATTCCAAGCAATTTTGTATTAAAACAATAGGTATTCGTAAAATAATAGTTGCCAAATCTTCAAAATGTTAATTTTTATCACGAAAATATTTTTAACAACATACTTTGTGCAACATAAATATAAAATATCGATTTATTTAATAGCTGAAAGAAAAATTTTAAGAATTTTAGTTGAAATAATATTTATGCAGTATGACATATCAATAGCCAACAGAATTTAATGGTATAAATGTATAATATATTACTTAATATATTATTAACATAATAACATTAATGAACCTATATACCTATCGTATGAATACAACTTTTATAAATATTTTAAGATGATTCGCTTGAGATGTATTGTAGTTAATCATGCAAATACCTATTTGTTTAAATGTCAAAAAATATGACGATTAACCGATGAAGTAGCCTTAGGTTTTTAAAATTTCATGAAATTTATTTTCTTGAAAATGTTTATTTTATCTATAAGTTAATAGTCGTCAACTATGTCGTAAACTTCGAAGTGGACATTTTTAAAATCTGGTTTATTGTATGAATCAAAAATATTATGTAACATATTTACATATTAATTATAAGTTGTTTAACAAATCTATAATATAACTAATTTAAACATCGCTTTTTAACTCTTAAGTTTTCAAACTCATAACTCAACTCAACATCATAGCATATTGTTGAGAGCAAAGACTCTGCGAATGCATATTATATTTACAATGTATAAACTGTAACAGGCGATTTTTACCTCCGTTTTTTTTACCCCCTCCCCCTGGTAAAAATATCCTAGGTTAATTTTACCCCCGGTAAAAATATACTAGGTTATTTTTACCCCCGGTAAAATTAATCGACAGGGGGGTAAAAATATACTAGGATATTATACCTCCCCGGTAAAATTAATCGACAGGGGGGTAAAAATATCATAGCATATAATTAACGATCTGCTTAAAATATATGCATGTCGATTATTTTTACTGGGGGGGGGGGTATAAATATACTAGGATATTTTTACCCTCCTTAAAATTTTACCAGGGGGGTAAAAACATTTGAGGGTATTAAAATCCTGCGACAGTTAAGCAAATTTAAATTCAATGGGAGGTAAATATATTCTAGTATATTTTAAACAGATCGTTAATTATAAGCTAGGATATTTTTACTGGAGGGGGGGGGGGGGTAAAAATAATCTACTATAAAAATTCACAAAAGAGACAAATATAAAAATTCTTTATAAAATGTTTCTATAAAAATTCAATGGGAGGTAAATATATCCTAGTATATTTTAAAAAAGAAATTATTAAGGGATATTTTTACCCCCTTAAAAAAAATTATAACCTTGGGGGAAGGGGGGCTAAAAATAATTTACTTTAAAAATTCAATGGTAGGTAAATATATAATCTATCATATTTTAAACAGATCGTTAATTATATTGATTTTTATTAAATACAGATTCTTTTTTTAAATATAAAATATCTAATATTGTAGAGATTTTATATTTTTTTTTTATCAAATATATTATTTTTTAATATAGATTTTGTCTTTAGAGTATAAATTGTTTTATCATATATAATTGTTTTTATTAAATACAGATTTTTTAACTAATATAGATGTATTATATAATATTATATAGATATTTATTACCTAAATACAGATTTTTTTTTTTTGAATATGAACTGTTTTATCTGTAAAGATTTTTTAACCAAGATTTAATACCATCTAGACACGCGGTAGCGTGTCAAGCCAAGTTCTAGCTAACAGAACTGGCGAGCAGCACCGTGTGTAATATTACACGGACCATTTGGAGCCATTTTTGACCCCCTCATAACTCAAAAAATATTCCACATAAACATGTCAAATTTGGCTCATATATTGAGACTAACGAGATACATATGTGCTCTAAATTTCATAAACACACTTCAAACCGTTATTTAGATATTAACGTCCGAAAATCGTCATTTTTATCACTGACTTACCTATAGATCAAAATTCTAACCCAGTTCCAGATGACCTAGAAAGTTCAAATTTGGCATACAGATAGGTAGTTAGGTAAATACAAAGGAAAAAATCAGGAACTTGAAAATTTTTAATTTAAAATTTTTTAATTTTTAAATTTAAATTTTTTAATCATTTGATTTTATTATAATTTTGCAATTATTTTATCTATTATGTTTAATTTTTCAATTTATTAATGAATTGAATCTAATTTAATGTAATGTAATGTAATGTTGACTTAAATAACCTTTCCCGTATCGCCGCTCCAAAAATACGACTAGCCAAATATGTGTCGATATTGTCGACCCACGCGCAGCGACTTACCTACTTTTTTTTCTATCTATGTATGTAATTAATATTATTTTTTTTAAATATTACAATTAAAATAATTAAATAATTATTGTTACAAATTATGAATTATCCACCCAACAGTAGAAACTACAGTCAATAAAATTATGATAATTAAAAATATACTCAAAAAGAGTTAAAATAATTGTATATTAATTTTACATATATTTTATACTCTGTATATACAACGGAAAATATTTTATAATAAATATTATTATTAATATTAGTAACTGAATTATATTATATAGGAATAAACTTTATTTATAGAATACGTCATGGCTAGGTTAGGTTAGGTTATAATAATTTACATACAAAAAGTAATGATATCCCACCAAAAACATATATGTAAAATGAGAGCCAAGTTCAATAATATATGCCTTGGTTGTTGACTACAACGACAAAAGAAGTGAGATCTAAATGGGTGCCAAGTTAGGATAATATATTGAAGCCTAAGGTCTGACTTGGCTACGAATTATATATTATAGCATTTGAAAGTTCTAAAGCTTTGAGTTCTTATTTTATTCTTCGGAAAATCATCTTCACTCTTCCATTACTGTTTTAGTAGGTACTTATAATAATAATTCGTATATGAAAAGTAGCCAAGTCACACCTTAGGCTTCAATATATTATCCTAACTTGGCACCCATTTAGATCTCACTTCTTTTGTCGTTGAAGTCAACAACCAAGGCATATATTATTGAACTTGGCTCTCATTTTACATATATGTTTTTGGTGGGATATATTATACAGTGACCCACTTGTAACCTACTGTACAGCAGAGCAACTTTTTTTAATTTAATATAGAATTTTTATCAAATATAGATTTTTTAATAAAATATAAAGTACCTAAATAAAAGGAATTTTATTTGAAGATTCTGAAAACTGATTTCCAAATGTTTGCAAGTTATTTGAAAAATTATGGTATTATCTTGAAACCGCTGACCACATATAGGGGAGGGGCTACGTGAAATTAGCCCCCGCCCCATCTTTTATTTTTTATACTTTGTAGGGAATTTATTTGAAAATTCTGAAAACCAATTTGAAAATATTACCGAATTTTATTCAACTAGAGTAAAACATGTGTTGCAAACTTTTAACCAGTGTTGCAAATTGTTGTAATTAATTTTCAAAAAGATGGTACTAGTTTGGTGATGATACGATAAAGACGGGGTGCCAACTTTAATCTCGTATAAAATTGAATGAAATATAGAGAATAAAATATTATGTATGTTTGTGAATGTACAGGGGCCCGATTAGGTAGTCTCGGCTCTTCGAAAAATATTTTTCTATATTATCATATCAGCCCAAAATGTCAGCATTTCTTCGAGATTTCCTCGAATGCTCGACTGCCTTATCCGGCCTTAGGAAAGTATGTGTATTTTGTATTATATGTGTAATTAAATATGCTGCACTTGAAATAAAATCCTGGGACCACCTATGATTACATTATATTGTGGTCATAAAATATTAACAACGAGCTAAAATGTACAATATTTAAATCTGAGAAAATAAAAATTAATCAATTTTAAAATAATTGTGTGAACTTACCTTTAAACCAGCAAAGAGGGTCTCCAATGTCGGGTGATAATTTCAGTAGCGTTTCGTGTTGTGAATATTGAAATAAATAACCGGTCAATACACAAATACTTGAAAATCCCCAACAGTAAATATGGTACATAATGGTACGTACTGATGTTGATGTATTTCTGTTTACTGAAATTTTGTTCCTAAATTAAAAATGTGTTTAAATTATTATTTGAAGTTATATAAACTGTCATAATTTGTACTTTAAGATTTTAAAAGCAGCAAATTATATTATATGATTTACTGGATCCTGGTATAATGCATTAGGTAATAGGTATAATACTATAGAAGCCAGATTATGAATTCAAAATAAAATATTTTGATTTTGATTTCAACTTTCCTTATTGCTAACTATTATTTTTTTCTAATTTCAATTAAGAATAATAAGTATATTGGTTCTATAATTTGATGAATTGTATTAATTAATTAATTTTTTTTTTTTGTTGCATAATATTGAACAAATCTTTTCTTTTCTTTACTAAAATAAAATCTAACAATTAAATATAAAAATATAAATTTCTTTTTCGATTAAAAACTTCGATTTTACAATTTTTACGAATTTAATTTTGATTTCTGTCTACGAGCCATACATATGCGTGTTTCATGTAATATGCTTGGATATTAAACGGCGCTAAGAAAACAAGCTGTCTTACTGATGAAAAATTATTAATTGTTTGGCTTTTGTTGAATTTTAATTTTTAATTAAGCTTATTTTTACAATTTTAATAGATATTTTAATAAAAGTTATTACACGATTATTATTTTGATTTAACTTATTGATATTATTATTAATTATTTCATAGAGGAGTTGTATAGATATCTATCTTTAATCAAATAATAAACTACCTTGGTATAAAGCAATTGTTAATATAATAAATATCCTATACGCATAATTAACTATAATATTTAAAAACATAAATTAATATTCTCCATGCTATATAGGTATATGTACTTATTCAATTATAATAATATTCATGACCCGTTTATTTTGTAAGTACATTACTGATGGGTAGGAATTTCAAACACGACTTTATTAGGTACCTATATTCATTGCTATTTATATCATTTTTTCCGATTATTATTATTATTCCAAACGATTCGATACCTTTTTTAATATACAATCATGGGCTATTCTTGAAAAATTCAGGGGTGGAGTGAAAATACTTTAAATATATTATATAAATATACATATCTTCATTTTTGTTTACTGTTTATGGAACGATGATTAGTAATTTTATACTTATAAGCTTATATTTACTTTTATTATATACTTCATATATTTAGGTATGTTATGAAATAATTTTAATTATAGATTATCAATGTTTGACGATTTGATGTATATTAGAGTTACTTCAGATTTAGACATTTGCACATGCCAGGGAGCCACCCATCGCCGTCCACCACAACAATAAAACCGAGGTATAATAAATATTTAATTAATTTTATGAAAAGGTTTTCACTATAAAACAATAATATTACCCATGTAATGCACAAATTTACAGTAAGTGGTACCATTTATGTTTCCACTCCATAATCGTAAACTCAAAGAATTATGGTGATATCAAACAATTTGTAAGTCCTATCCCGTAACAGTATAATTCTTATAGGAAATTACAAGTTGTAGTTATTATACTTATAAGTTTAATTATAATTACTTGATTAGTATTATTTGTAGTTAAGAACTTTAGAACGCCAAAAGAATATACTTATTATTCTTGTACACATTATTTTACCACATTTTGTAAGAATATAATTAGTGTTTGAACATTTCATGAAAATTAAAAAAATTAAATATTTCAAAATATGTGAAATATTTCAGTATTTTAATAACTTTTGTTTTATTTTTAAATAAGTTTTATATTTACATATAATTGTCATAAATTACCTTTATAACTATATTTTACCTGTATGTATACCTAAACTTTGGAATTATACATTTAAAATGGTATTCAAAATTTTTAAATGATACAAGTAGGTGTACAATATTATACATATATATTGTATACCTACTGAATTCTGACATTAGAATTTAGAACACTGAACATTGTGTTAAAAAAATAAATAAATTGTGTTTTTATTGCTGTTAAAAAAAATTTCAATGCTTCACGTTATTGTGATTAAATGAAATATTTCAAATGGAATATGTCACATGAAATATTTCATACGTCTTCAAACACTAAATATAATGTACATACCTTAACATCCAGTAAATATCGTAGCATATTACGTTTAACCAGCAAAATGATGCCAAATATGTAAATAATTGAAAATAACCTACAATTTATAATACATTAAATTAATTAAAAATACATAAACAAATAAAATAGTAAAATGAATAGGAAATATAATGTGGAAGCCAAAACATGTAAGTATGCCGAAAAGACAAATAATAACGGAGATATTTATATTTATTTTTGTTTAGTTTTTAGATGCATGGACAATAAATAACACTAGTTTTCCATGCATCGGGAAAAAGTACCAGTAGATAGCGACAAGTTAAATATATATAATAAGGTGAAGAAAAAAGTTTTTTTTTTTTTTTTTATTTTTGAATTAAGAAAATTTAACAATCTGTACTCATGGTACAATAAGCTTAAAAGATATTTGAATACAATAGTAATAGAATTAATACAAACAAAAAAAATGCGGCAGCATTCATTTATATGTAATGCTATTCTTATTTAACATGAAAATCGTGAATTGAAGAGACTGTCCAGCAACAGCACTTCGGCGAGAATTTTTTTTTTTTTTTTTTTTTTTTTTTTTATTTTTTAAAGTTTAACGTATAGTCCTGTGTATTATGCTAACCAGTCTCTGGGCCACTTACGCTGGAGTCTCCTTACCGTGTTACCCGGAAGGGAGTGTGATGAAAGAACTTTAATGAGGGGATTGGTGTGGTTTTGTAGTCTGTTGTGGAATTTAAGGTAGTGATTTTTTGCAGCTTCTTTGACATACGGTATGTTCAGGTCTGAGTGTAGAGTTTCATTCGAGACGTACGGAGGGGCGTTAGTAATGAGACGGAGGGTTTTTGATTGGACTACTTGAATTTTGTTTATGTTTGTTTTTTTAGCAGCTCCCCATAGCTGAATCCCATACGTCCAGATGGGTTTTATTAGTAGTTTGTATAAGTTAATTTTTGATTTTAGGTTGAGCTTTGAGGTTTTGCCCATAGTACTACGGAGAATAGAGAGTCTTCGATTTAGTTTTAGTTTGGTCATGTGAATGTGTTTGGCCCAGTTGAGTTTTTTGTCAAAGTATAATCCTAGATATTTAACCGTGTCCGAATTAGGGATTATTTCATTGTTTAGTGATACCGAAGGGGGTTGTTGCATTTTGAGGGTAAATGTGGTATTGATTGATTTAGATTCGTTTATTTTTATGTGCCATTGGAAGTACCAAGGAGAGAGTAGGTCAAGATGTTTTTGTAGGGATGTCGAGACAGTTGTGGGGTCAGTGTGAGTGGAATAAATAACTTTATCATCTGCGTATTCGGCAACTGAAGTATCAGGATGTATCGGTTGATCTGCGGTGTATATGTTATATAGTGTGGGAGATAAAACTGCACCTTGTGGTACACCAGCTAGAATCGGAGAGATGTTAGAGATTTCTGAACCCGAGCTGACTGCAAATGAACGTTCGTTTAAGTAAGATTTTATAAGAAGGTAGTAAGAAGGAGGTAGGATTTTTTTTAATTTGTATAATAGACCGGGGTGCCAGACTTTGTCGAATGCTTGTGACACGTCTAGGAATACAGCTGAAGTGTATTGTTTTTTTTCCAGTGAGCACGCAATTGCATCCGCTAATCTATGAATTTGGTGAATAGTCGAGTGTTTTTCTCGAAATCCAAATTGAGAGTTGGGAATAATTTTCTTTTCAGTAATAATTGGGTAAATACGTTTTAAGATTAATTTTTCCAATAGTTTAGAGAAAAATGGAAGTAGACTTATTGGGCGATAAGAGGCTGGGTTGTCTGTTGGTTTGTTGGGTTTAGGGAACATTAATATAATTGAAAATTTCCATTGTATTGGGATATATGTTAGTCTTAGGATTGCATTAAAAATATGTGTTAGCTGAGTAATGGCTTTATTTGGAAGTTTACGAGCCACTTCTGCCGTTATTAAGTCGAAACCGGGTGATTTACCTAATGGGAAGTTTTTTATGAAAGTTTTGATAACTGATGGGGAGAAGCATTTAGGAGGCAAGGTTAGAGGCAGTGGACTGTCTAAAAATGTATTTATTTCACTTGTAGGTGGTTGGGTAGTATAATGGTTTGGTTGAAAAACGGCTGCAAGATGATTTCTAAAGGTTTCTGCTTTTTCAATGTCATTTATCGCCCAGGTTCCATCTTGTTTTTTTAATGGAGAAATGGTTGTTTTATGTTTCAGTATTCTACGTGTGGCTCTCCAGAGTGAGCCGTCTTTTTCCGAAAGTGAGGCTGTATATTTGTTAAAGTCGTCTGAACGCTGTTTACCTACTTCTCGTTTTAGTGTTGTGCATAGGTTGTTGTATATTCTTTTATCAGAGGGGTATCTGGTTCTTTGCCAAGTTGTTCTTGCCCTTCTTTTTTGTACAATTAGGTTTCTTATGTGTGAGGGCATTGTATGATAGTTTTGGTTGGGGGTAGGGTTTGGTGTGCAAGAGCTCCAGGCAGCTGATTGAATTGAAGTTGTGAGATTGTAAACAGCCTCGTCGATGTCATTATTTGTTTTTAGGCGAGTTTTTAAATCGATTTGATTGGCGAGACTTGATTGGAATGTGTCCCAATTTATTACACCATTGATTAATGAAGGTCTAGTTAGTTTGATTGGGGGTTCGGTGTTAATTATTAGAAGTACCGGGGAGTGGTCTGACATTGGGTTTTGGAGATTTTCAGTTGTGCAATTTAGCCTGTTAGGAATTTTTGTGACAAAAATGTCCAAAATATCGGGACGTTTTCTTGGCGAGGTTGGCCAGTAGGTGGGGCTTGGAGGGGACAGGATGTTGTAATTTTTATTATTAGTTATCCGCTGGAGAATGTTACCACGGGGTGAGTTGGAGTGGCATCCCCATTGTATTTGTTTCGCGTTTAGATCACCACCTACGATAAAATTGTTGCCTAATGTATTGAAGAATAGTTCAAATTGCAGTGGGGAGATAGTATGTCTAGGAGGGCAGTATGTTGAAGTGATTGTAATAGGTGTGTGATCAAGTGTGATTTGGATGGAATTTGCTTGAATGTGTGGCTCATTGTATGGAGGAAGTGGATGAAAAAGAATTGAGGATTTGATAAATATAGCTGCACCACCATGAGCTGTACCGTCGGGGTGATTTGTGTGGAGAAAGGTGTAGCCTGGAATGTGAGTTTTATTGCGAGTTGTTGCGTGGGTTTCGGATATAAGAGCAATATCTATGCGTTTTTCATGTAGTGTTAGTTGTAAGTCATTGAGATGGTTATGGAGGCCATTAGCGTTCCAAAGAAGTATTAGTAGCGATTTAGAGGTGTGTGAGTTATTTGTCATTTTGTTGAATTAGTTTGTTTAGAACTGTAGTCAAGAGAGAGAGAAGAGGATTAATGAGGGCTTTGAAATCGTTAATAAAACTGGTTAGCATAATACCTGTGTCCAGTTGGTTTGTTTGAGAATTAGGTGGTTCTTGATTAGAGGTAACATTTGCATATGACCTTTGTTGTGGGGGAGGTGGACGGGTTTCAGACGGAAGTGCTGTTGCTTGGATGTGGTTGGATTGAGTGTTGATTGTAGGTTGTTGGTTTCTTGAGATTGGATTGCGGAGTTTTTGTAGATTTTTGTGTATTTGGCATCCCTTATAATTGGCGGGATGTTCTCCATTACACAATACACATTTAGCAGGTGTATCTCGGGGTTTTGTGCAAGAGGATGTGAGGTGTTGAGCAGCACAGCGTACACATCGGGGTGGATGTGAGCAATATGTTTTTGAATGTCCATATTCCTGGCAATTTTGACATTGAATGATAATACGTCGTTTGTAAGGTTCTTCAATTTTTATTTTTGTATTAAGTAAGAAGTTGATTTCGAAGATGTTATTGTTTATTTCGTCTGGTTCGAGGTCCACGAAGAAGAGGGGTAACTTAATTTTTTCGATTTTGCTAAGGACGTTTGTTACTGAGCGTACGGAGAATCCTACTTCTTCTATTGCAGTTTTGATTTCGATTGGAGAGGTAGATGAATGTAGGTTTCGTATGACGATTCTGAACGCTTTATCTTCCTTCATTTGATACGTGTGGAACTCGGCTTCCGCGTCTTTTAAATAGTGTATAATTACTCGATATGCTTCAGGATTGCTAGGTTGAATTTTTAAGGTGTTTATTGTTGATTTGACTGAAAAGTTTGTGGGACCAACTATATCTATTAGATCAGCTCGCACGCTTATAAAATCTTTGACACCACGGACTATTATAGGTGGTGGAAGTGAGATTTTTATTTTTTCATGTTCTATAATGGAATTTGTTGCGGGACTTTGGGTGTTTGTTTCTAGTTCCAAATCGTCGTTGATGGCAATTGGATCATAGCGGTTGGTTGAAATAAATAATTGTTTGGATTTCTTATTCTCCTTTTTCCCGGAAGAGCTGGAGGAAGATAGTAGTCGTTTGTTTTTATCTTTGACTAAAATAAAGTCGTCTTTGTTATTGTTTTTGTTATTGTTCGAGTTATCTGTGGTTGAAAACACGGAATCGCTTGTGGTACGTTGTGTGCGTGCTTTGCCATTTGGAACAGTTGATTTGTTTTTATCGTTGTTTTGATTAGCAGTTTTATTGCTAGTGTTTTTCGAGGTCGAATTCAACATTATCGATGTGTGCGGTTGTAATTAACTGGCCGCCGAGTGGCGGCCTACAGATAAGATTACAACAGGTAACGGTTATGTAATATATAACGCGATGCCGGTGTTTAGAAATAAATTACTAGAGTTATACAGCGTAAATGGCAACGTATAGCGAAAAACGTGCTGAAAAATGAATAAAAAAAGAATATATAATATAATAGTAATATTATATTACTATTCAGTATTAGCACAATTTGCTTTATCACGCGGTTTTTAGATTAATTTACTATCTCGTTGACGGCAGAGTAAATAAAAAACGGGACGGAGCGAGAGCATATCGCGTGCGCATCGTTCGGCAATCGGCACGAGACTAAGAAAAAAAAAGTAAAAAAACATAAGTACAGATTTTGAAAAATATACTTGGAATTAAATCTATTTCTGGGCATGAGCTAGAAATCAGTGAGTTAAGTCAATTAAAAATATCAAGTAGGTCTATTGTACATGAGTGCAAAGGAGAGAAGAAATACTTTTGGTTTATTTTGCTGGTTAATTTAAATTAATATTATTGTTACCTATTATACACATTAATAACAATAATTATTATACCTAAGTTATAAAAACACTGAATTAAATATAACCTTAAAATACTATAGTTATAATAATTAATAGTTAAAATAATAAGAAAAAAGAAAAAAAGCGGGTAAGTGGATGTCGCTCTGCTGTACTGTAGGTTACATGTGGGTCACTCTATAATGGATTGTATTAAATTTGAATTCAATTATATCATATCATTGTATACGAAAACGATTCTGAGTGGAGACGGTTGTCAGTCTAGATAATTTATATTGTTATTATATTTTATTATAATTTATAGCCTGTAAGTTGAATTAGTATTATAAATTACAATAAAATAACACTAAAATCGTTTTTTTTATTTTTAATCGTTTTTATTGTAATAAACAAAGCGTTAGAAATTAAAATTCCATTTTTAGCTGTTTTTTGTAATTTGATGGTGTTTTTTCCCGTGGCATTAAATAACTATTGAGAAAATCAAAAAATGACCTCTCTAAAACCCCATCTTGATAAAATTTTAATATTATAATATGTTGAAATCGAAACACTCCTTGTGATAGAAATTTCGTATACAAGATAAAAAAAACTATTATATAACCAATAGATCCCTTAGTCCACTCAGAATCTAAATTATATTAATAGATTAAAATGAATATTACGATTTGTAATAGGTAAACACTATAGAAATAAATTGTCATTATTATATGTCCTATGAGACAGGCACTATGAATGAAAACAAGAAATGAACAAAAAATATTTTCATAATTACCTGCTACTAATATTAAAATAATAACAGCTTCTTTTGAACTATTTTTATTTTTAAACACATGTTAGTTAAATAAAAGTTTTGAATCAAAAGTTATATCAATACCTAAGGTATTTATTCGATGTTCGATTGAATAAGTAATTAGATAACTAACAATTGACAGTTAGATGAGGTTTTGTTTTTCAAGAAAATTAATAAAGTGGCATTTATTTAAGTTAATAGCCAATCCATTAGAATTACACACTTTTTCTTGACTATTGTTTAGATTTAAAAAGTGTTTCTTCATAAGCAATGAGCATACTATAAGAATAGTTTAAAGCTAAACAATATCATTAATAAATAAATAAAAGACAAAATGTGTAAGGTGATCATCTTAGGGGACAATTGACATGACGAAATACGATTAGAAATAAAATTGTTGTATTTAACAAACTGTTATCTACCAATTAAAAATGAGTGTAATCAAGATATAAGGGAATAAGCAAAGTTAATATTTTCGAGTTTTAAAATTAAAAGCAAGTGGTAAATTCAATCAAACGACTTTTCAAAATCGGCATTAGTCTCCTGATTATTTGAAAATAAATTTAAATGGAAATTTTATAATTGCTCACTGATCAAGTTTATAATTATAGGATTCTTTTACAAATTTAATATTGCTGTTATAATACCTATACTATATACTATTATTGAAAAGAGAAGAAATAGTCTGAAATTAGTAATTTTAAAGAAGTTCTAATGATAGATATCTAGGACGATAATTATAAACTATAGATTTATAGTTAATTATAATTTTTTTTTTTATTTTTTTTCAATAACGATTTTAAACTTTTTCTGGTTTTTTTTATCTACTCTATTTGTTTGTTAACCATGGATTTTCTTCCTGTTGGATACATTGACTTGGATGTATTGATACAGCGTATTTTGTTCTTATATATTTTTTCCTAAATCAATTTATTACATATCATCCAGCTGGAGTCTTAAGAGTCCTAGATATATTTCTATATTATGTGGTATGAAATATGTGGTAGGAATTAATCAAAGAATGATAACAATGTAGGTAAGATATACCGTATAGAACGCATGTATAGCCATGTATGTCATTCGTAATATCTTTGATTACTGCACAGAGGAATGACATGAGCTCGACGGCAATGTAGGGCTTGACGTAGTAGTTGCGGCTGTTCTGGAAGCTGGGCAGTGTGTTATACACGAGCAGCGTGAGCGCCAAGCACACGATAGACGCCATACTATTAACCATAAGGAATATGAACATCCAGCCATTCTGTGTGTCCTCGCCGCACACGAACGCCTGCAGGACGGCGTCCACCTGTGCACCGGCCTCGGCGTAATACTCCACGCAGTACAAGACGTCCGGTACGCGTTGGTGGTCACCAGTAAGGTAAAGGCTGCCATCCGTGGTTAACATGAAGCCGTCCTTCACCATTTGTTTCGTGAAACAACGGGGTTCGACGTTGTACGGCACCACCGTGCTGTTCGACTGGCCCACAGGAAGGCCGTCCGCGTCTGTTTCATAGGCGGACATCGTGAACGGCTTTTCTCTCTGCGTGCACTTCCAATCACTGCATGAAATATAATACTCGTTAGTGTAATTAATGGGAGACAATGCAAAGTAACGTTTATTTCTAACTTCAATGGTCATGGCAATTTAAATTTTTTCTTTTTACAAGATTTAAGCCACATTAAATGATACATTGTCATTATTACTTAGACCTGTCCCATTAGGGGGTGTAAAGGTACTACCTATCCGACCCAAATACTCGATTGCGAAAAAATAGATGGAGACTACAATTATTAAGAACAGAATACTGATAAGGAAATTGAGATAGCTAATATAAAAAAGAAATTATAACCAGTAATGGAGAATATTATATTAAAAGAATCTAATGGTGCTACATTATATTTTGTATCTCTCTCTGACCCACCCACGCACAGCATAGCTACTATTTACTTATAAGAATTAATTCTATATTATATAAAATTAGAGAGGACAGATTGATATAAAAACAGGTATACCCCCAGTTATCACCATTTGGCTTGTCATCTGAAAGTTGTGGCAGGCATCATATAGTTCGCAGCATACGAATATATACCAGAGATCGCTGCGGAAGGTATGCTATGGCCCATGTGAGCCGTATCAATGTACATTTATATATATTTAAATAAACGATGCCGAATTTTGGCCAAGTAATGTGAAGGCGTCCGGCCCTCCTCATGTTGTGGTGCAAAAAAAAAAAGTTATATTATTGTAATTTAAAAATATAAATATTTGGGACTTGATACCTTTTCACCATATACAATATACATATATTATTATGTACTATAAACAAGACAATTTTAAAAGTACATAGGCCATAGGAGAACCTATGGTAGAATTGGAAACTTAATGTTCAACATCGGTTTTTGCAGTATTCTACTTAATGTAAAGCTCCTAATTCTCAATCAATGAATGTTTAGCAGTATAAATATCGATTCACTTCAATGATAAAACAAATAACTCAAATATATTTTACTTTATTATTAAATATACAAAAAAAAATAATTTGCCCCATTCTGCCCTTACCCTGGGGTAGAATGGGATATACATTTTAACATAATATTTAATATTAAAAAAATAATGGGGCCTAATGGGATATTACATATCATGGATAAACCATTCTGCTCAGTTCCGTTGTGCCGAATGTGCGATTGAATGACTAGACTCCGATTGTCATAACGTTGCTTCACTGCTTCAGGTGTTCTAACACCGACTTAATAAGTTCTAATTCCGGGCCAATAATGCTTGACCGGAGGTGGTAGAATTTTTGCGCTGGTGAATATCCACTATCGTCGTGTACCATAGCACGAACACAATCGAAGTACGATTCCCAATGTTAGATATCACCGTCAAATTCCGGTAGCTTAATGGTAGGCATTTGAGCACATCTGTGACCCGATTACGTGTTGAAGGTTGAGTTGTGACAGCTACTGTTGGTACTATTCCTTGCATTCACTATTTCCTGAATATTTGAACGAATATTAAAATAATCAAATTCGAACTTATTCCACTCATCTTCTTCTTTTTCGAAATCATCGACCACAATCAATTCCAATTGTGTCTGTAATCTTATGTCATCAAACTTTTGATTTAAACGTGGCAACTCTTCTTGGCGGAATTCCAAGAGCGATATAGTGTCCACTGTTGGATCCTTCAACAAAGTGAAAAAAAGGGACGCCTTAATGATGCAACTCTTTTTCCTAAGCTCTTTCACCTGGGCTTGTATAACGTCATCTAACCCCATGTTGATGATAAATACTTAATTTATACAACTAAATATAAACTAATTGAATCTAGTATGATTTCAATCTGATGGATTCACAAATTAATTAAAAAACAGGTTCTATCTCAACTGTAAAACACACAAATAATAAAACACAACAATATAAGGAAAAAATCCATTCGAGGTCACCAAAATGTGCGGGCTCTGAAAGTACAATAATAATACGCTCACCCGGACACCAACTTAGGGTCTTTACATCACAAACACCTAAGTCCTAGAAATATGGAGGACAAGCTGATTGTGTAATGATGTAATAGATCGAACAGTATAGTGGTCGGGATCGCCTAGCAATTACTGTCAGATATGTAGTGCATGTTTTGTAATTATGTGTATTTGTATATGAATATGTGTATGTGTGTGGGTGTGTTTACGAAAATAATAAAACACGGTATCACGGTTTCTGGTAGGTGAGTTGCTGTATAATACACAAATTTAAATAATAGCAGTACAAAATTTTAAAATAAAACTCACCGTAACAAAAATGTGTAAAAGATATAATAATAATAATAAATCACAGCTCTTATGGCCAACTAGGTTGGATTATAATATTGACGCAACTATTTGAGCTGAAGCCGTATAAAATAATATGCGGCCCTTCAGTCAAAACAAAATAATAATAATAAATAATATTGAAAACCTATTTGAGCAGCTACCACGTATAAATTATATGACCCTTCTGATCCAATAATATGTAGTAATAAAGATAATAATTAAAATATGTTATATAATTATATAAATATCCTGCCATTATGGTCGAACAGAATAAAATATATATTGACAGAGCTGTTTAAGATGTTAGCTCGTACTTATAAAAAAAAAAGATGCTGCTAATGTACGGCCCTTCTTGCACGACAAATAATAATTATAAAACATCTATAGCCCTTTTGGCCCCACAATTGAATATGTTTAATAAATAAATAAATAAATAATAATAAAAATAACTTACAATTTGTGGAGAGCAGACAAGCTACCTGGTCCTGTGTTAAAATAGAATATAGTATGCTAAGCGCTTAGCACACACAATAAATAATAATAGGTGCCAATTCACGCACAATTTACAATAATAAAATAATTAGGTAATATTAAAAAGGTGGTGATTTGTGAATATGGCTATATAATATAAAACTGCGATGCGCCACAATAGTATAAAAGTATTTCACTTATTTCTCAAAATTATAAAATAAGTATAATAAATCTAACTGCACACCACACGTCGGTGTTCGCGCAACACAACATATAATATAAAACCATAAAAGGGTGTTTCGTGCCAACAATTTTCCTTAGCAATTAATATAATATACCAATATGCCTTTCTGGCACTCCCAGTTATAAAAAAAAACAACAATCATTTTTACTATTTGAGTAAATAAAAATTTTATAAATTATAATGACATACATCGATGCTGCCGCGATAACATACTGTGAAAGACAAAAATCACGGCGGTCGTGTTAAAATATTATTCGGCAGCCGACGAGGCGGAGTACGATAACGCTCTAGCTTTATCTATATATTAATTATTATTATACCACTCATAAGACACATTCAACGATAATAATAACAATAATAAAACAATACAAAATAGTGATATGGGTGTGTGTGTGTGTGTGTGTGGGTGGCCAGCTGTTCCCCAGAGATCGATGTCCTACGCACTTATATTTACTTAGGTATATTACTATTATATTTTTATGTTGCCATTGACCCGGGTGGGTTTTTATCCTGCGGGCGCACTTGGTATATTTCATACATAAACATGGTTGGACTTGGGTGCAATATTACAATGACCAATATTAGTAATAAAACTAAAACACAAACCTCGTGGATGCATTTCTGTGTATAAAATTCATATATAGCTATTATCTCCATATTACTTAGGTATAATTATATTTATAGATATTTGTACAAAACATGTTGTACCACCCGACACCCAACCTCTTAATTAGGTTTGGAATTTGTCAGACTTTAACCTTGTTCTCGGCACCACTGTGTGAATATAGATACAAATTAGAAATTTGGCTAATCAGGACAACTTCTGAAATCCACCATCCCTTTTCCACCAAATAACCATAACACCAGTTGCAGCGATCGATAGGTACGCTCGGTATAATAATTATATACTATTTTATAATTATACATATTAGGCTGCCGTACACAGTAGACTTACTCGCCATCGATGACGTACATCTGGTCACGCTCGCAGCACTTGTTGACGCACGTGTAACCGTCCCGGCCGCAGTACTGGTCACGTAGCCGGCACGTCCGCGCCACCAGCTCATCGGTGGGCGTCATGTCAAAGCAGTGGCCCGGTGGCAACTCGATGGCCGACGAGTCCACCTCCCTCAGCCCAAGTACCTCCACAGCGGACACGTCGACTAGTAATTGCGTGGCGTCACACTTTGGCTGCTCATAATCATAACCAACCACCACCGCATCGGCCACCACCCGGAATCCCTCCCTCAGTAGCTGCATCATCTGCAGCAGATACTTGTCTTCGTCCGCATCGGCTGGTTTGCAGAACCGCACTTCCGGATCGTACGGCTGGCCCGGCGGACAGCACTTCCGGACTGGCAAGGCTGTCTGGTTGTCATCGCACGTGCCGCCGCCGATCGCCTCAACCGAGTAGAACGTCCGATTTTTGTTCTGGCAAGACGCGACTCCGCCGGCGCTAGCAACTGAACTACTGTTGCAACAGACCACAGCGTCGGCGGCTGACCAGCATATCGTGGCAACGAGAAACGCGATGGTGGCGGCGAAACACAACCGGACAGTATTCATCGTTTGCGCACACTGTTTGGGCGGCGTCAGCACAATCACTATCGCGACTGTCGGCCGCTGTTAGGGCACTATAGATACTAGGTATGTTAAGCCGCCATTTTGGGACTAATAATGTTATGTGAATATGAATTTTCCCCCCTTTATTTTATCATTGACAAATGAGGCGCAAAATGGTGGCATAGCATATCCATTATAATATGTAGAGTCTTACCGCTGTGTGTGTGTGTGTGTCAGGAGTGGAGACATTGGACGAGCCGCCGCCGCCGACCACCGCGCATTTATAATATAATATTATAAAAAATGTAATATATTGGTTTTTATTGCCTAAATATTATTTTTTGTCACGCCTCTATTCATCGATAACAGCAAAGGTAACATAGTTATATATCGTTTGTTACCCACTTTGAACTTTCAGGTCAAAACCCCTCTACAACTTCAAAAGTTAGCGGCCACTTCATAGTGACTGAATGAATAATACATTTCAAGAAGGGACTAAAAATACTTGCATATTAAAAGGTATCGTTGGGGGCCACTTTCAAAGTTTTAGTACAACTTTGGTGGGCTAATTTCATGACTTTTAAAGCTCTTACAGGCCACCCGAGTAACTTGCAAATTCTAAAAATGGACTTGAAAATTCTTGCTCATTATTGGTGCTGATTTAAAAGTGAGTGGCCCACTTCACAACTTCACAAGTTCAAACATTTATAGCAGCCGTCTGAAGAACTTCAAAAGGGCCTTACAAATTCTTGCTAATTATTAGCTTTCGTTTGGTATTGATTTCAAGTCCTGGTTTGAAATGGATTAGTTACGTGAGTTGTTCCAACTTTTAATTTTTTTGTTTCATAGTGAAAGTTTGTACTCTCAAATTCTAAAAATAGACTTGCAACTACTTTCAAATAACTTGCAAAATAATGGCATAGATTTAGAAAGAACTGCAGTATTTAGGTGTGCCAACTTCATGAAAGTAGCACAAACGAAGGGAATTGCAGCACAAACGGAACACAAACGAATTTTCTCGGTTTAAACTCAAAATATTTAATATGCGTTCAGGGGCGTACGGTATAAATAATAGTACCGCAATAATGCAAATATAATTTTTCCATAATCCATACATATATATTCATTGTATTTTTTTTTTAAATTGCTTAATATAACTTCACATGCAGGAATGCGGTAAAAACTACACAGTATTATGAATCACACTCCCAGTTGGTACGTTCTTATAGCTTTAGACTACGAGCGGTGGGTACTTTATACAGGTAAATCGTACATCGTAAATAATATTCATTAGTAGAGTAAATAATAAGTTAAATTATAATAATAATTCATCATACTATATGTTTTAACTGGTTTTCGATTTCTCTCGATGACTGATGCATCTGTTTAATAAATTCACGTTAGCCCGTTTTGTATAAATTCTATCTACTCGCAGTTATCAATAAAAGCTATAAACAGTTACAAACAAATATAATTTTTTGTTTCGAATCTAAATAATAGCATTGATAATAAATACATGTATTTATAATCAATGTGGTAATAGGTACTTATTAAAGTTAGTTAATAGATACTTTGTATGAAAATGTAGGTAAGTGTCTACAAGGATCTATGTTAATTATATATGTTAATATTTTTAGCAGAACCAGTCACAAAATAAAATGTACCTATAAAAATATAAAACCATATTATATACATTATTGGAACCTATAATTTGTATAAGTAAATCATATATAGGTACCTAATATAAAATATTATAAAATGTTTATTTCTGAAATATACCTATTATATATGCAACTGTATAGGTCAGGACTTGAAAACAGTATAATAACGTTATGATTATAACGGTATATTTGAAAAAAAAAGATTAAAATTTGCAAACGTAATCATAACAGAAAATGATAGTTAAAAATAATTAAATACTGCAAAACAAAACATAACGATTAACAAAATATATTATTATATATCATTAAACAAAACCTAACGCAATTTGAAATTTATAGAATATCATTAAATGGAAAATAACGTAAGACGTAATTTAAAGAATATCCTATTGAACGAAAAATAATTCAAAACGAAATATTTTAAAAACTATTTATTTAATAAGTCTATTGGTTTCGTAGAAATATTTACCTATTTCATGTAAACAATCTAAGAATTAATTATATTATATTCCGTATCCCCGGGCCCTTACCCACCCGAATTAGTTATTGTTTTCAAATTAAATATGTATAAACACTATAAACGCAAAACTTGTATAACGTTTAGTTTTAAATAACGATAAACTCAAAAATTACGTAAAGTTTTAATTATAAATAACGTAAAACGGAAATTGAATGAAAGTGAACATTAAAATCATTATCAATTAAACAATTTATTTTCTTGTGATTTTATAAGATAAGATTATCCATTTTTTTTAATAAATATATACTATGTATTATTGTATTTGGACTAAAGATAAATTGTTTGAGTAAAATAAACCATACATAATATAAAATTGGATAGAATATCCATAATTTTGAATATTAACTATTATTTTAATGTTTACAATAACTAAAAAAATCAATGACGGATTATTTAAATTTACAAAAATAATGATTTTTTTATGGCCTAGGGCCTAAAGTCTAAATATATAATATAATAGGTAATATCTACATGTTATATTCATATTGCATTTAGAAATCATTATAACTTTTATGAGCACTGCCGAGTGCCATATTATTTATGACGACCCAGAGATAGTGTTAATATGTGTCACCTCACTGTAATCCATTGAACCGCTAAACTTTTTCCGTCAGTCCATAATAACTTTGCGCTTGACAGCTTGGCTACAAATATTATAAATACGAGTTATACTCTTTATAGTCCGTTAATTTCATGACAAAATTCCCATATGATCCATTCACTTCTAAAAAATAAGTGGGATTGTACATAATATATACTATATGCGATTCCTATAACCAGAAATAGTTTGATGCTCATTACAAATCTGTAAAAAAAAATAACCAAAAGTTATTTTAAGTCAAATTAAAAGTTTTTAAATAATATTGACCAATAAACCGAAAATTGTTTTGAAGATTGATAATAACTATTGGAAAAGACAGAAACTACTAAACTTAACTTTATCAAACTTTTAGATTATAATAAGTAATAACGACATATTACCCATATAATACTTTGTACAAGTTCAAGCACTTTTACTGTCTTAAAATGTGATGGCAGACACAAAAAAAAAAATTAAAAAACACACATCATTGTAAAATCAATACATTCATCATTCCATTCAGAGTCTGATCTAACAGTCTCATCTAACAGATTTATGATATATTTTTTATGTCAAGAGATATCGCAATGGATAAATCCTCATGTTACATTCTGTATACCTACCGTATAAATACAATTTTTACAAATATTTTAAGATGATTTGCTAGCACAATGTACTGTAGTTTCTAATGCACAGACCAACTTGTTTAAATGCAAATTAACCCGTCCACCCGTGTTCTTACAATAGAATGGTTAACAAATGAATATAATATATTGAATGTATTAATGTATTATTATAAATGAATGTAATCATTTGTAATAAACTGGAATATTGTATATTTCACCCATAAGATAAGTCTACATTAAAAACATGTAAATAGTTAACGTAGGACACATCATTTTGATTTAGTATAATATACTAAATCAAAATGATTTACATGTTTTTAATGTAGACTTATCTTATGGGTGAAATATACAATATTCCAGTTTATTACAAATGATTACATTATATTGTGGTCATATAACATTAACATTTACCTACACCGAAATAAAATTTACAATATTTAAATTGAGAAAATAAATACGTTGAAATGAATTTATTTAAAAAATAATTGTGTGAACTTACCATAAAACCAGCAACTAGGGACCCCATTACCGGATGCTAATTTCCCTAGCGTTTCGTGTTGTGATTGTTGAAATAAATAACCGGTCGATACATAAACACTTGAAAATCCCCAACAGTTATTATTATAGTACATAACGGTACGTACTGATATTGATGTATTTCTGTTTATTGAAATGTTGTACCTAATTTTAATATTATTTGCAGTTATATGAACTGTTGTAATTTGTACTTTGAGATTTTAAAAGCAGCACCTTATAAGTTAAATTTATAATATGATATAGTGGACACTTTTATAATGCGCATTATTACCTAATTTGAAATTCCCATGGTTTTTATTGTATCATACACCAAGAGGCACTATGTTGCAAAGTCTTATCTTGGAAAAATGGCATGGATACAGTTATATCGACTATAAGCTATATACGAAAAAATGGGTTAGCTCATCGACAATTTCAACAGTTTTTGGAAGAAATTGAAGCTGAATATGTTGATGTTATTTATTTTACGGAATTTCGTTGGTTAAGTAGGGGTGCAGCTTTAAAACGTTTTTTTTTTACTCTTAGAGAGGAAATAAATATATTTATGAATGAAAAAGAAAAAAATGTTCCCCAATTATCGGATAAAAAATGGATAATACACCTTGCTTTTTTAACTTACATTGCCAGATTTTTAAATGAATCAAATGTAAAATTACAAGGGAAAGAAAAACTACTACCGGATATGTACTCTGATATAAAATCATTTACGGTGAAATTAAAATTGTCTTACAAGCATATTGAAAAAAAATTAGATCATTTCGTTTGTTGTAAAAAAGAAATGGAAACATTTCAACAATGTAACTGGGAAGAAGTTAAAGTAAAATTTATGAGTATCATTGAAAAGTTACAAAATTAATTTTCAACCCACTTGCCCACCTTTTTTCAATTGACTTCAAAATTAAATTATTTCAGAACTCGTTTGTAATTAATATTGATGACGTTGAAAGCTGTTTACAAATGGAGGTTATTGAGTTGCAAAGTGACGAATGTCTTAAAACCGCTTTTCATGATTTTCATAACTTAATTCAGTTTTATTCAAGTCTCTGTGAAACAAAATTTAGCAAAATTAAATCTTTTGCTAAAAAAATGTCGACTCTATTTGGAAGCACTTATATTTGTGAGCAAACTTTTTCACTAATGAAATATTGGAAAAGAAAATATGCTTCACGATTAACCGATGGTCACTTAAACGATGTATAGAGAATTTCTACATCGAAAATAAAACCGGCTATCAATAAACTTGTTGATGTTATTCAAACTCAAAAATCACATTAATTTTTATTTATTTATTTCATTTATTTTTTTTTTCGAATATTTTACTATATTATTTTACTATGTAGGTATTCTTTTATTATTATTATGACGTGTAATTATTATTATAACTTTGTTTGTAGATACCTCGATAGTGCATGTATCAAACAGTTATGTAGGACGTAGGTACTTAAATAAATTAAATTTTTCGTTTAAATAAAATAAGATGTATTTCAAATAATTACGGCCCGTGAAAAATATTTTTTAGCTGTTAACACGAAAAAGGTTGAGGACCCCAACATTAGGTAATAGGTATAACACTATACAAGCCAGATTATGAACTCGAAATAAAATATTTTGATTTTGATTTTAACTTTCCTTATTGCTAATTATTATTTTTTCTGATTTCAACTAAAAATAATATATTGGTTTTATAATTTGATGAATTTTGTTCATTTATTTATTTATTTATTTTTTTATTTGTTGCATAATATTGATTAAATCTTTTCTTTTTTTATTTAGATAAAATCTAACAATAAAATATAAAAATATAAATTTATTTTTCGATTAAAAACTTCGCTTTTATACTTTTATGATTTTAATTTTGATTTCTGTCTACGAGCCACACATATGAGTGTTTCGTGTAATATGCTTATATGTTAAACGGTTCTAAGAAAACAACATTTCCTACTGATGAACAATTATTAATTGTTTGGCTTTTGTTGCATTTTAATTTTGAATTAAATTTATTTTTACAATTTGAATCGATTTTTTAATAAAAATTATGATTATTATATAATTATTATATAATTAAATTATTGATTATTATTTTTATTTAACTTACTGATATTATTACTAATGATTTCATAGAGGAATTTTATAGATATCTATCTTTAATCGAATAATAAACTACCCAGCTATATGACAATTGAAAATTGGTAATATAATAAATATCCTATGCGCATAATTAACTATAATATTTAAAAACATAAATTAATACTATCCATACTATATAGGTACTATGTTTTTAATAACTTTTTTAATATACGATCATGGGCGGTTTTAGAAAAGTCCAGGGAGGAGTGATAATACTTTAAATATATATGAATATACATAATAAATATCATCATTTTTTTTTTTTACTGTTGATGGGACGATGATCCGTAATTTTATACTTATAAGCTTATGTTTACTTTTATTATATACTTCATATATATATGTATATAAACTATGTTATGAAATAATTTTATTTATAGATGATTTATTAATATTTGATGATTTGATGACTTAGAGTTCATTCAAATTTAGACATTTGAACACACCCATCGTGGTCCAACATAACAATAAAACCGACACTGGTTAGATATGACAGTAAAAATACCCGTTCAAGGTTTAATAAATATATTATATTAATTTTATGAAATGGTCTACACTCCCTATACAACAATAATATTATGAAATGCACAAATATGTAGTAAGTAGTAACATTTATCTACGTTTCCACTCCACACTCCCATACTTAAAAAATATGGTGATAATAAACGATTTGTAAGTCTTATCCGTAAGGAATAATTCTAATAAAAAATGACAAGTTTAACAACTTTAATACTTATAAGTTTAATTATAATTACTTGCCTACTAGTATTCGTAGTTAAGAAGTTTATAACATCACCATTGTTTTACACACATTTTCTACCATACTATGTAAGAATATAATTTACATATCTCAACATCCAGTAAATATCGAAAGCATATTACGTTTAACCAGCAAAATGATGCCAAATATGTAAATAATTGAAAATAACCTACAATTTATAATACATTCAATTAATTCAAAATGCATAAACAATAAAATAGTAAAATGAATAGTAAATATAATGTGGAAGCCAACACATTTATGCCGTTAAGACAAGTAATAACGACAATATTTATATTTATTTTTGTTTAGTTTTTAGATGCATGGACAATAAGGTGCGTCCCCACATTGCAATTTTCACTTTTAAACTTCACCAATATTTTGGGAACTCAATAGGATATAATTGGAACTTGATTTTCCGTATTACAACTTCATACTTTTCCCACTAAAATGTATGTCAGTTGGCACATTTTAACTATAATTTATTAAGTTCTGACGATCTTGATTCTTGATATATAGTTAAGCCAAGTTGAAGCACGGAATTAACTCTCCAACTTTTATTTAATGTGAGCCGAATCTGAAATACTGTTTTGTAGTAAAATAAAATTAACGAAAAAGCAAGAGGGGAAAAAGGGCGGCATTAGTAGTAGTGAAAAATAGACTAAAAGGCAAGTGCCGCGTTGGACGCTATTTGTAGTAGAATAAAATAAACGAAGTGGAGGTAAGTCGGGGAAATATGCGGTGGCGGTAAACTATAAAGGGTATGAATGATTAGAATGTTGCGCTTATATCGTAAATTTTATCTCACTACAGAATATTTTTATTTGAATATCGAAATGATAATTTGTTCTTAATTATATAGTGTATGAATTTTCACTTACCTCGTTTTATTGTGAATAAGAATATGTAGACTCTCCTTGGAATGTTGATTGGAGTGCCGTCAGATTGGTGTGAGTCGATGCACGTTATTTATACTTTACGATTTACACTACAATATCCTATTGCAATTAAGTATACATTTCTACATTACACACTGTTGGCTTCTTACGATTATGATGTAATGGAGTTTGTAAAGATATCTTTTGATGGAAGATGAGGATATCATGAAAATAGTTTTTTTTGTATTGAATTGTGTTGATACTATGAATTCATGCATATTTTAAGAAATATTCATGAATGAATTTTATTGTTCGTTTTCATTCAATATTTTTTTACAACATTCATTTCAACTTCTTGTATATTTGAGATTTGGACGTTAACGAGTACAGTACTTTCGGTCCAGTGCATAAGTCTGCCCGGTTCCGTACTCGCGACTCAAACTGCAAATATGGTTTGGCGATCCAATGTCTAGTATAGACAGTGAATTGACTAACAGAAATTGAACTGAAATTTATTATTTAATGTTTTTACGACTTCCATTTCAACTACCTGTATGTTTGAGATTTGGACGTTTACGAATACAGTACTTTCGGTCCAGTGCACAAGTCTGCCCGGTTCCGTACTCGCGACTCAAACTGCAAACATACTTAGGCAACCCAATGTCTAAGATAGACACTGAATTGACGATAATTGAACTGAAATTTACGTAGATACTTTTACGAATTAAAATGCATTTCAAGTATAGCACAATTGGCTTAAATCTGATATTTTTAGGGATATAGGACTTGGATACGAGTATGTGGATATCTTCCCTACATGACTTAACGTTATTGACGGATTGTTAGGATTATAAAAATTGAAATAACAATGTTGTTATGGTAGAATAGCAAAAATGAATATACCAACAGTGAGCTCATACCTGGTTTCAAAACAAACGCAATAGTAAGTTAACTTTGTAGAGAGAGATTAATTTTGTATCAAAAAAAAGAAACTGGTTGATGTTCCATAGATTTATCCGCGACCGCCATCAGCGTGGTCCTCTGTGTTGAATTGACATGTTGCGTGGAGTGTACTGCTACTGGTGTACCACTGTGAGTACTGCTTACTGGTACTGGATGGTGACTGACGCTTTTGTTGTTTATGCGTGGCGTTTATATAAAAAGGCGATTGTCTTATCCCTACTCTATTGTTATTACGTAACGTTACAATAGATTATTCGTCTTTGTTATGTGAATTGCGCATGTGCGCGTATTCATGTCGTGTTTTCGCATAATGTCGTTGGGTTTTTTGCAAATTTTATATGATAAAAGTGTTCCCTACATTGAGTGTCATCTTATGATTCTTTTTGCGCATAACATTAGCATTGATTTCAGTTTGTTTGACCAAATATCGTATAGTGCGCATGTATGCACATTTTATGTCATTTTTGTACATTGTCGTTACTTTTTTGGCTATATTGTTATAAGTAGGGTGTTTTGTATGTTGTGTGCTGTTTTATTATTCTTTTCGCGCATAGTTTTGGCAGTGATATCTGGTTATTTGACCGAATGTGGTGTGGTGCGCATGTGCGCACGTTTTATGTCGTTTTTGCACATTGTTGTTGATTTTTGGCGATATCAGTATGAGAAGGTTGTTTCGTATACTGTGTCTTGTTTTAATGTTGTTTTTGCGCATAGTTTTGGTAGTGACATCTGTTTATTTGACCGAATGTCGTACAGTGCGCATACATGTACATTTAAATTATATTTTTGCACTTTGTCGTTAGTGTTTCTGCAATATTAATATGAGAAAAGTTATTCGTATGTTAAATGCTATCGTATTTGTCTTGTTGCGCATAGTCTTGGTATCGACATTTGGTTGTTTCACCAAATGTTGTGTAGTGCGCATATGTGCACATTTGAGTTGAGTTTTGTACACCGGAAGTGTCTCTGTGGTGTAAGTTGTATAAGCTTATTATGTCGATGAATGAAATATTTGGTATTATGATTTCGTAAGTTAGTGCTATATCGAATTTTGATGAGGTGTTATGATATATTGTTGCTATTTTGTTATTTTCCCTTCGTGTAATTTTTGTAGTGATATTTTGTCGCTTAGATGCTTGAGTGAGTAACATACTTTAATCATATGTCATTGTGGGTTTTTTGTAATTTTTGTATGAAGTATTTGTTTCAATAGGTTGTGTGTTTAAGTGTGTTTAATGTCCTTTTTCATTTGTGTAAAGTTTTAGCGACAGTTTTGGGCATTTAATTAATTTTTGTATTAGTGCGCATGCGTCGGTGTTCGTATAGTATGGAATTTTCGGTTACGTAATGATGTACGTGTGTTGCGTAATGTTTTATTATCTTGTTGTTTCATTATAACCATATATGGGCATATTTTTCGGTGTATGAGCGTCTTGGAAATATTGTTATGTAATCGTGAAGGAATGTTGGTTGCTTAATATTTCTTGGTATTGCGTAATATGTTTTAATTGCGTTTGTGGTTTTTTACAGCCAAGTATGAACCTACCTGATATATTCACTTTACATGTTTATTTAAATATAGAGTATATTATTCATATATTACAGTTTTGAATCACTGGCCAAAGCTGTATATGAAGTGATAGAAGGTAAAAGCAATTTAAGAAAGATAAGAATAATTAATTGATGTGAAATCATCTATAGGTAGGTACGCCTAACTTATATTATATTAAAAGAATCTCATTTCGCAATGTTTTGTTTTCTATTTGTCTCTGACCCACCCACACACAAAAAGGTAATTTTCACCCATCAGAACCAATTAACGGACTGTTATAAAAACAAGAAGTAAAAAAGTTAAGTGTGTTAGTACGTGGGATATTTTGCATAATTTCAATTTGTCTGCGATACCTATATTATTATTTTTTAATTTTAGTACCAATTTTGCATTCTCCTAACATATCATAAGAGATGATTATATTAACTTAATGTTTAACAAATTTACTGTAACATTAACTATTTAAACCTAACAACGTAAGAAGAGTTTTTCTGAATGAAAATTTTCAGTGGCATGCGTGGTTCAAGGAGAAAAGTGGGTCATTGGATAATGGATTGTATTCAACTTGAATTCAATGATATAAATAATTGTATAAGAAAAACGATTCTGAGCGGAGACGGTTTGTCAGTCTGGATATTTTATATTGTTATTAGTTATTATATCATGTAAGTTGAATTAATATTATAATTATTACTATACTATTTATTATTATTTTATTCGTTTCTATGGTAATAAACAAAGCGTTAGAAATTAAAATCCAATTTTTAGTGGTTTTTCATAATTTTTCGTTGGCATTAAATAACTATAGAGAAAATTGAAAAATGACCTCTCTAAAGTACCATCTTGATCCGATTTGCTAGAAGATAAGGCACTATAATATGTTGAAATCAAAGAACTCCTTCTGGTAGAAATTTTGTATACAGGATATAAAAAAAAAAAATAAATAAATAAACACCATTGTAAAACCACTATAGCTTCCTCACTTCGCTCAGAATCTAAAAATTACTCATAGGAACAAAATAATAATGTTTGTAACAACATAATATACTTAGTAACATAATAGGCAGACGGATTTCTGTCACCACTTAGAATCATTTTTCATCGTATACAATGATTCATTGGTCATTAAATTCAATTATTTTGAAAATTGTATTGTGTATAGTAAATAATAATTCAAGTATAAGTAGAATGTTTCAAGTAACAACATTTTTTTGTAGAGAAATCGTTATTTTACTTGTGAATATCGTTTATTATAATTTGAACTTCAAACACTCATAAACAATGAATATTCCATTATGTTAAACTTTGATCTTGTTCTAAATTTTGAAATCATTGGTATTAAAATAAAATACTATGAATTTTTAAATACAAAATAATTCATGATTTTTAAGACTCGTCTATTTTAAAACTACAAACACTTAAAATAACAAATGTTGGGAAACAACCTGTTAACTTAGTGTGAGTGTGACTGTTGTAGAGACTAATGTATTAGATATTATTATTCATTATTATAAATTAATTAATAAATGAGAAATTTATTGTTAAAATCGTATACAGGAGTATATATCATTATATATTGCTTAAATTTAAATATTGCGTTTTAAATATTAGGTATATAATATATTATGAGAGATTGTGCAATTGTAAAACTATTTAACATCATCATGTATTGAATACATTTAAAATAAAAGCTAATTCGAAATTATTTTTTTTTTTTTTAAAACAAGATTGTGAAATGTTATTTTTTGTTGTTGCGAAATGTGAAACATTTAGGAGGAAAATTGAATCCGATATTTAGTGAAAAACTTCCTTATAACTTGTAAGTATTTTGAATTAATACATAGGTATAGGTAAGAATAGTAATATCATGATAAAACTTAATATAGTAAAAGTTTGTATAGGTATTATGAAATGATTTACTTATTGTACATTCAATCAGCCATATTAATAATGTACCTAGACTATGCATAATACAATGTATATAATATTTTATAATAATATGTCTACAGAAATGTATTGTAGTAACTCTCACAATGTACCAGTGAAATTGCTCCAAAATTGTTTTCAATTTATGACCATATATTAATATTAATTATTCATTTATAGTTCATACATTATATCAATCTTAATTTAATAGCAAGCGAAACAACTAAAATAAAAATAAAGATAGCAAAATTACAAAAGCTAAAATTGTTGTACATTTTGTGTGAAGTAGCAATACAAAATATTGATAAAATATATATTTTACTTATCTACCTTTATCTATAGATTACAGCCCTATGCGACGTAACATATTAATTAATATAAAACCGTGGTAGACAAAAACTGTCATTATTTGACAAAATGTATGATATTAAAAATTTAAAAATGATTTTGTAGTTATAATTTTATAAAATTTTCAACTTTTATAGGGAAGGATAGAAAATTAAAAACAAGGATCTAAGTAGATTATTTAGTTGTAACTAGTAGTGTGATTATTTTGTTGTAATTTAAAAACAAATAACTGTAGATACATGAAAATTTCAATGAATGTTTATTTTATCAATTCTTATACTTGATAACATTTTCAAAATATTTTGAATTGTTTTGAGCTGTTTACTGGCATTGACAGTTTAAAATTTTTTTTTTTTCTATGTTTATCAATAAAGTTTTATCTGTTATGTCAAAAAGTGTAAAACTTTAATACAAGGCTCCTGATTTATTGTTACAATAGCAGTTGAAAAATATCAAAAATACATAGGCAAAATTTTTTTTATAAGCATTAAAGATCAAATTTTGACATAATGTATCAAATTTAAAATTAAATCATGGGCGTAACTTGGAAATTTATTAGGGGGGGCAAATATATTATTTCATCCATTTAGTGGTTACATATAATCAATATATTATTGATTATTGTTATATTACTTATCTTTAATTACTTATACAGTTATACGTTAACATTATCTTTTATTGTATATTAGTAGAAGATTTCTATTAGCTAGTAAGAAATAAATCAATAATAAATAAATAAACTTAAATTCATTAAAAATATTGAAAACTTTAATATTATATAACTTCTTAACAAAAAACTGACTATATAAAAGCAAATAGGTGTATACAATTAACTTTATACTTAATAAAATGACAAATTTATATTAATTGTAGTCTTCTACCTCTTTGGGTTGATTCTGCGCTAAACTGATCAATAATTTTGTCAAAATTCATTGGATACATATTTTCTATATTTAAAATAGCTATGTTAGATAGTCTTTCTTGACCTATAGTATTTCTAGTAAATGTCTTGAGACGACGTAAAGATGAAAAAGAACGCTCACTAGAAGCAGAACTCATGGGAATCGATAAATATATTTTAAAAATCTTATACATATTTTCAAACGAGCCTATTAAGTCCTTGGACAAGAAAAAATTCAGACGATTTTCAAAATTTTCAGGAATGTCACTTGATAAACACATTTTACTAAATAACTTTAACTCTGCCTTAAAATCATCTATTATAATATCATATGTGTTACAAACTTCCAAGATATTTTCATCAGAGCAGTTTTTGTTGCTCAAACAACATTGAAGAGCATTAAGTATTGTGATATTGTTTTCCTCAAATTTGGTTTTTATGTCATTGATTATAATATCTAAAACGGGAAAATAAATACTGACTTTGAAATAAGATGATATATTGTTTATTGTTGTAGCTTCACCACCTCCAAATCTAGAGGGAATTTTTCTTTTTCTAGGAATATCTGGCAATCTAATATCCTCTTTAGTAGCAAACTGTTCAGTTTTAGTCCAAAAAAGTTTATAACTATCATCATTTCGAAGTGATTCTAGTTCCAATAAAGTAGCATTTGTTAAAATTCCAACACTTGAGTAATTAGCATTTTTTTTTTGAAAATGTATTGACAAACTATTAGTTAGTTGAAGAACTTGTTTCATTAATTTCAAACAGAAAATAAATTCAAAATCTTGAATATTTTTAGTAATGAACTTGCATCAGATCCATGAATGGAGTCTGTTTCGTTTATATTTTCTAAGGTAGAAATAATGGAATTAAAATTTGTTAAAACAGAACGAATAGATTCAATTCGACAACTCCATCTCGTATCACTGAGTGATTTAAGAGTACTATTTGACACATTTAACTCTTTTTGAACTTTCTCAAATACTGAGTTTCTTTTTGAAGAGGCGCCTATAAATGTACAATATCAACAACATATAGTCGACCTCCACCACATAATTCCCTTTGGAGGTAACACTGCTTGTGTTGTTTAATCTCTTTTCTATGAGCTATACTCACCGAACCACTACATATTAATATATTATAATATATTTTATAATATAAGATTATACATGATACACCTATATAATCTGTGGAACAACTATACTGACCGAGTGTCTACGGTTATGAGTCGCAACGCATTACTATGTAAAATTATTCATTAACATACTTAATGTAGATAAACTAGAATTGAAAATTGAGATTTAAAAAAATACTGTATAGTAATAGTAATAATCAGTTGTTTTTGTATTTATGAAAGAAGAAGGTATGTAAAATATTGAAGGGGGCATTGCCCCTCCTAATTTTTTCTAGGGGGGCAGTGGCCCCCCTTGCCCCCCCCCAGTTTACGCCTATGAATTAAATAATTATTTTGTAGTTAAAAATTTATAAAATGTTCAACTTAACCAAATAAGGATTGAAAAATTAAAACAAGATTCCATGTAAGTAGTTAATTCTGTTACCAAAAAATCTAAAAAATACACAAGCACAGTTTATTTTTATAGTCATTCTAAGTTCAAATTTGGACGATATTGCATATTAAAAAACCTAGAATAACTACCTATTTTGTTATTTTGTTGTGATTTTATAATATTATTCGTGGGTACTTGAAACTTCTAAAGTGTACTATTATAATATATCTATGATAGTATCACGGTTTGTCGTTGATGAATAACGCGTTATAATAGTACCTAATGGATATTCGAACCAAGCTGCCTACCATTCTGATATCCAGGCCAATTCAAGGAAAACCGTGAGTCAATACACCATTTCAAACCTTTTTGCTTGTTGATCGTATTTTTGATTGTTAAACCATTCTTATATGGTATAAATTAAATAAAAAGGAAATATTGTCAAATTAAAATGTACAAAGATATTTCAATAAAAACAGATAATAATTTTATGAACCAAATTGTCTTCGTGTTCATCATTTTTATTACAAACAGTCTTACACCTCAGTGCATTACAACAGTGGTGTAGTATTTAGAATTGTTCACAGGGACAAAAAATTGGCTTAAGGTATGTATGCAATATAATTTAAAAGACCATTTTATTTTTAAAACTTTAATTCAATTCTAGAGATACTTAAAAATACTTAAATAATGGCATTCAAATTTTTGTCACTACGTACATATAAAATGTCCAAGCTCAATATAACTTGTCTTAGCGTCTAGAAAATAAGGTTTATTGGTTTGAGGAGGAATCACATTTCTATTCACCTGGAAATAATTCAACTCTTATGCAAACTGATTAGAGTCATTTATAAAGAGTTGTGTCATAGTCTAAACATTTTTGTATTTAAGACAATAGGTATACTTAAAATAATAGTTTCAAAATTTTCAAAATGTTAAATTTTGTTCACGAAAATATTTTTTAATAGCATACTTTGTGTAACAGAAATATAAAATATTGATTTCTTTAAAGGCTTAAAGAAAAAGTTTAAGCTTTTTAGTTGGAATACTATTTATGCAGTATGACATATCGGAATATCATTATAAACACATTATTATAATTTTTATTTTTAAACTTATATTAGATACATATTATTATATTATGTTGATTTTATTCTGGGCACAGTCCAAACATTCTTCATCAACAGTCAAAATAATATATTATATTAGCTAATATTATAATATATTAAAGTCAATAAATAAACATAATACAAATTATAATAAATATAAATACAATTTTCACAAATATTTTAAGATCATTCGCTAGCGGAATAGGTACTGTAGTTTATTAAGCGAACAAATATATAACAAGCCCGTACATTTGTCCAAAACAATTCATTCAATTTTGGACTTGTAATGTTTAAGTTAATATTGAATTTGTTAATCTATTCATAAAAATAAATACGTCCGGGTGTATTGTTTTTTTTTTGGAAAAATATGTTTAATCTATGGCATTTTAATCACTGATGATGCTTTGTATGGACAGGTCTTCAAAAATGATATTGAGGTTTCCATTATAATTTTTTTTTAAACTGAATAATTTGCGAGGGAGACACTTCCAAAGTGGTAAAATTTATGTCCCCGCCCCCTATAACTTCTAAAATAAGAGAATGATAAAACTAAAAAAGATATATGGTATACATTAACATGAACATTTCCACCAAAAATTGGTTTTATTTTTATAGTCATTTTAAGTTCAAATTTGGACGATACTACATATTAAAAAACCTAGAATAACTACCTATTTTGTTATTTTGTTGTGATTTTATAATATTATTCGTGGGTACTTGAAACTTCTAAAGTGTCATATTATAATATATCTATGATAGTATCACGGTTTGTTGTTGATGAATAATGCGTTATAAGTACTTCGTAGATATTGTGATATGATTAATTTGGAATTTATTATAGGTAACTATTATAGGTAATTTTTTTTTTTTAATACCATAGATAAGTGTTTAATATTATGTCTTTACCTAGACTGTCATACGGTCCCCGCTCAGAATCATTTTTCTTATACAATGAAATTCAAATTTAATACTATCCTTTATACAGTGACCCACTTGTAACCTACTGTAGAGTAGTGCACCTTTTTTTCATTGACAGGAGCCCCCTCCAGCCCCCTTAAGGTTTATTTTATGATACGGAATTTAAATATGCTCTATGTATTTGAATTTGTTTGACAATCCTGTCATGTTGTGTGTAGACGTGTAGTTGAGTCTACAAATTTATGATTTTCTTATTTTATTTTAATTGGTTAAAAGTCAATAGAATTAGGAAACATAATATTTCAACATTGGTTTGATATCTTAAAGCATTATTCTTTTTTTAATAAACATTTTTATTAAGAGTAAAATATACTTTTTATTTTTATTTTTATTTGCCAACAGTATTTAGTTTATGTTTTAAATTTTGATGAGTAAAGTAAATTAAACTTTTTCTTTAATTTTAAGTTCGTATTTGTTATTGTTGCACCTATACTGAAGAATTTATAAAATAAAATAATTTTATTTTTAGCATTTGTCAATAAATGATATTGTATACAAATTATAACTATGTATTGAGTATATTTAAATTACACACTTTTCAAAAATGTGATATCTATAATTAGAATATAATAACATAACAGAACGGGTTTTATTTGACTAAAAATATTAACAATTTTAGCCATAACCTGTTTTTTTTGTAGGGGGAGGAACTGTTGAAAGGGTTGGTTGAAACACGTTTGTATGTGTGGCAAGGATTTGTAGCTAAAAATCTTGGGTGGTCACCCATCCGGGAGCTTGCAACACCGGCCGATACGTACACTTAGGGCATTTTCGTAGTTGAGTGTACAGACCGCGCCACATCAAGCCACCATACATATTACATATATTATATTGGCCACTATTAAAAAGAAACATTATAATTAAGTTAAAAAAAAGTGGGTCACTATGTAATGGATGGTGTTAAATTTGAATTCAATGATATAATAACATTGACTAAGAAAAAAAATTCTGGGCGAAAACGGTCAGTCAACCTGTGATATTACTAAGTATATTTGATGATATTATTGTGAATAAAGTAATTTATACATTAACCAAATTACGTGGAAAATTGTTTTAAATTTCCAATTCTTAGCTATAAAAGTTGAACATTTTATATATTTTTAACTACAAAATAATTATTAAATTTTGTAAAAATTCAAACTTTAAATGATTATAAAAAAAATGTTGCCTATGTATTTTTAATATTTTTCAACTGCTATTGTAACAATATATCAGGAGAGTTGCATTAAATTTTCACGCTGTTTTACACAACAAATAAAATTTATAAAATTATGATAACATTTTATTGATATTTATAGAAAAAAATTGCGTTAACAGCTCAAAAAGAGTCAAAATATTTTTAAAATTGTATGGTGTATAGGATATGAAAATATAAACATTCAGTAAAATTTTCATGCATCTACAGTTAGGTATTCGTTTTTGTATATCAATAAAATAACAAAACCACTACATGAGAAATCGAGTGAATATCCAATATTGTAAAAAAATGAATTTCAAACGCTCATAGAAATTTAATTTGATTTGCTTGTAGATATTATTTTTTTTTTTTTGTTAAAGATAGACAAACTTATTAGGAATCTTGTATTACATTTTCAAATCTTCCATTATTTTCCCATAAGAAAAGATACTGATGAAGAAAATCCAAGCACTTTTACTGTCCTATAACGTGATGACAGACACAAAAATTAAAAATTAAAAAAAAAACACACATAAATGTAAAATAAATACAATCATCGCTCCGCTCAAAATCTAAAATACTTGAGAATTCTTGATAATTATTAGATTTAGTTTAGTGCAAATTTCGAAGTTCTTGGTCAGTCAAAGCGGGTGGGCCAACTTTATAAATTCAAAAATGTATAGCGGCCGTTCGAAGGACTTGCAAATTTCAAAAAGGGCATTAAAAATACTTACTAGTTATTAGCTTTCGTTTAATACTGATTTCAAGTTCTGGAGAGTCAGAATTTATTGATTACTTGAAATTGGTCCAACTTTTAATTTTTTAGTTTCACAGTGAAAGTTTGGACTTACAAATACTTGCAAAAAACTTGCAAAATGATGGCATAGATTTTAAAACAGTAGCAGTATTTAGGTGTGCCATTTTCAAGAACATAACAAAGGGAATTTCAGCACAAACCAGGAAAAACAAAAACCCAGGGTTTAAATTTAAAAATGTTTAATGGGCGTGCTTGGGACATGGTATAAATATTAATGAAATAATAATGCAAATGTAATATTTCCATAATCCATACATTATTTTATTGAATTTTTTATTACTGAATTTTTTATTACCACCGTGTTTTAGAATTTCGTTTGCAGGCAGGCGGCATAAATTACTACTGCATTATGACTCAGGGGCAAAGAAGATACGTTCTTATAGCTTTAGCATACGGGTGACAGGTACTGTATTATATACAGGGTGATTCATTAAGCGTATAACACTCATTATCTCAAAAAGTATTAATGTTTTTGAAAATATTTTCTTACATGGTTTAAAGTTATTAATAAAAAACAACTTTTTTATTAAAAAAATCATAATTTAAATATTTTTTATCCTTATATTTTTTTAAGTATTTTACTTTGTCGAATGACAGAATAGAGTTTTAATTTCATATTCCAAAGCAGAATATTTTTCTAAGTATTTTCATAAAAATCGAATTGAGGACGAGTAGGTAGTTTATGAGTTATAAATATTTAAATTTAGACAAGCGGAGAAGTGGACAAACATTTTGCGGAGTAACACAATACCACTCCACTCCACCGATCTATACTTTAAATACTTATAACTCATAAACTACTAGCCCTAAATTTGATTTTCATGTATCAAAACACTAAGAAAAATATTCTGCATTGGAACATGAAATTAAAACTCTGTTAAACTGCAGGTATCACAGAACTTTTAGCTTATATTTTCTTTAAAACATACTTTTTGTAGTTTATTGGAAATGTATAAAAGTGAACATTGAAATTCAAGTAAAAGATCAATTAAACAATTTAACATTTTATTTCTAATTTTTTAGATAGGATTTATCCATTTTTTGAATCTAAATATACTATGGATTTAGACCAGTAGTTCTCAACTGGGGTGACATGTCACCTTAGGGTGACACGGACCTAGCTTAAGGGTGACGCAGAATTTTAACAAGAAAAGGAAAAAAATTAAAAAAATTAATTTTTTTGAAAACAATCATATTATTTTTTATAATAAATATATTATACACCTATACTACCACTGTCATGTACATAACATACCTCAAAGTTCGTATCTTTAAAATATACAGCTATGATTGTTTATTATTTTGATGTTAGGGTGACGCAGTGTTTGATTCTAGTAGCTGAAGGTGACATGAATCAAAAAAGGTTGAGAACTACTGATTTAGACTAAAGATAAATTATTTGAGTAAAGTATAACATACCTTATATACAATTTTATAAATCGTATTTTTTGATTATTCAAACATTTTATTTTTATAATAACCACAAAATACAAAAATTTAATATTAAAAGTCACAAAAATAATTTTTTTTTTTTATGCTCTAGGGCCTAGAGTCTTATTATTTAAAATAATAATACCTATATAATATATTCATATTACATTTAGAAATCATTATAACTTTTATGAGCACTGCCCAGTGCCACTTTTATGACGACCCAGATATAGTGTTAATTTGTCCGGTTTGTCGACTGACTGTGATCCATCTAAATTTTTTCCGTAATTCCATAATGACTTTGCGCTTTGCCACAAATATAATAAATACGTATACTCCTTGTAGATTGCTAGCTACATCAAAAATGTCCCATATGATCCCTTGGCCTCCGAAAAAAGCAGGTAGTATCGAGAAACATAATGGGATTTCCATTATCAGAAATAGTTTGATGCTCATAATAAAACTGTAAAAATAAAAAAATAAAAGTTATAATTAGTCAAATGAAAAGATTTTAAATATTTTTTGAGCAATAAATCAAAAGCTGTTTAGAAGATTTATATTAACTAGTGGAAAAGACGGAAACTACCAACTAAAATCTATCAAACTTTTAGATTAATAAATTAGTAATAACGTCATATTACCTATTTACCTATATAATAATATATTGTACAACAGTACAATTTAAAAATATAGATTTTTCATTTTATTCTTTTTTTTAGATGCTTATCACTTATATTTTGACTTACCTCACAAAGACAATGTTAAATATAAATTAATAGTAAATAATGTTAATATATAATGAATATTATGTAGGCACCAAATGTAGTAAACATACTATATTAGATATGTGAATTGATAGTACCCTACTGTATTCTTACTTTTCTTTGTAAACAAGAAATCTTTCTGTGTTTGAATCGTTTTGTTTGAATTTTTTGAGTTCACATTTAATTCTTGTAAAATAAAAAGCAGTTAGCAAGAATAAAATTAAATTGGCAGTCAGCATAACAGACACTGGTATCAGGTAGAAAGTATAATATCCGTAGCTAGTGAAGTCTGGAAAAGTATTAAATATAAATTAAAAATTATCTATTTATAACCATATACATAAATTTAATATAGAAAACCAGTGGTGCCGATATTCGTTCAAAGTTATATCTCAAAATGTTAAACCTTATACAAACACCTATACAGTCGATTATTATTTTTTCCCCCTTTATGTAGGTATCCAACAAAACTTTTTTTACAACCATTCAAATAAGTGAATTATGTAAATGTTAATTGTTGTGACTTGTAAATTTAATATATAAATAACAAATATTTTTTAATCAAAATTAAATTAATATTTTAAAATTAGAGATAATAATTATTATTATTATTGAAAACTAATAATTAATGTCGTGTATAAATATTAAAATTATAATCACACCAACAATTATTATCTTCAAGTCAAAAATTTAAAACAAATTATTAATACTAGCTTGTATAGGTACCACTGAAGAGAAAGAACCGAACTATAAATGTAACAAAGGTTTGTTTGAATAAAATTACTACCAAATGCATTTTCATAAGGAGTAGTGAATCAGATTAAATATTGAAAATCAAATAAACTTTTGTGTTTATTTTGAGTTTAAAAATTAAGTTACTGCAGTTATTATACATCTCAGTGCATTGTCGTGCACTGGTGTAGTACCTATTTAGAATTATTCACAGGAACAGAAAATTGGCTTAAGGTATGGTTGCAAAAGAGCATTTTATATTTAAAACTTTTATTCAATTCTGAGAATACTTGAAAATACTAATAGTGGCATTAAAATTTTTGTCATAGCATTTAAAATATCCAAGCTCAATAATAACCTGTCGTAGAGTCTTGAAAATAAGTTTTATTGGTTTTTTGACTGTTTTTGAGTAGGAATCACATTTGCATTCACCTGGAATGATTCAACTCTTATGCAAACTGATTAGAGAAATTTATAAATAGTTGTGTCATATTTTAAACAATTTTGTATTTAAAACAATAGGTGATCGTCAAATAATAGTAGTGAAATTTTCAAAAGGTTAATTTTTGTTCACGAAAATATTTTTAATAATATACTTTGTGCAACTGAAATATAAAATATTGATTTCTTTTAAAGCCTAAAGAAAAAGTTTTATCACTTTAGTTGGAATAATATTTATGGCGTATGACATATAGGCATATTATTTAAACAGAATACCTCGTTTCTTAAATAAATTTTTATAATCACATTATAATAATTTTTATTTTTTTAAACTTATATTAGGTATATAATTTATGTTGATTTTATTCTTGGCACAGTCCGAATTCTTCCTCAACAGTCAAAATAATATATTATATTAGCTGATATTATAATATATTAGCCAATAAATAAACATAATACAAATTATAATACATATAAAATTAATACAATTTTCATAAATATTTTAAGATGATTCACTAGCGGAATAGGTACGGTAGTTTTTTATGAAAATACCTAATTGTTTAACTCCAAATAAACTCGTCCACCCGAAGTCATGCAACATGATGGTTAACAGAAGTTCGTGAAGTTGGCCCACCTAAGTACTTAAATTTCTTCTAATCTATGCCATTATTTTGCAAGTTATTTGCAAGTCTATTTTTAGAATTTGCAAGTCCAAACTTGCACCATGAATCCATAAAATGTAAAGATGGACCAACTTCAAGTAGCCCACCCATTTTGACCGAGAACTTCGTAATCGGTATCAAACGAAAGCTAATGATTAGCAAGTATTTGAAAGCCGGTTTTTTTTGCTTAGTCAATGTTATTATATCATTGAATTCAAATTTAACACCATCCATTACAGTGACCCACTTTTTTTTAACTTAATTATAATCTTTCTTTTTAATAGTGGCCAATATAATATATGTAATATGTATGGTGGCTTGATGTGGCGCGGTCTGTACACTCAACTACGAAAATGCCCTAAGTGTACGTACCGGCCGGTGTTGATAGCTCCCGGATAGGTGACCACCCAAGATTTTTAGATACAAATCCTTGCTACACATACAAACGTGTTTCGACCAACCCTTTCAACAGTTCCTCTCCCCTACAAAAAAAAAACAGGTTATTGCTAAAATTGTAAAAAATTTTAGTCAAATAAAACCCGTTCTGTTATGTTATTATATTCTAATTATAGATATCACATTTTTGAAAAGTGTGAAATATAAATATACGCAATACATAGTTATACATAATCATAGTTATAATTTGTAGACCATATAATTTATTAACAAATGCTAAAAATAAAATAGTAGCTTGAAAATAGTAGCTTGTACCGATGCTGTAACTTCTGTAAAAACAACTATGCATTTATTTTATCTATTATAACTAATAATTTTAATAATTTATTAAATTAGCTGTTTATAAAAACAAAATTAAATGAAAATTCCGAGAAGGAAAATTGTATGAAATATATAGAATATATTATACATGTGTGTGGTATAGGTATAGGAATGTTCAGGGGCGGATTGGGTAGTCTCGGACCATCGAAAAATGTTTTTCTACCAGCCCATAATTTGGTATACGGTGGACTATATATTGGCCACATATTAATATAAATAAATAATAAAGACGTAATGGCATTTGTTGACTATTATATAGGTGTCGTAAAAATGTAATGTGGCATCGCTCCCATTTTATCCTAACAGCCCGAAATGTTAGCAACCCTTCGAGATTTTCTCGAATGTTCGACATTTCTATCCGGATCTAGGTGTGCATATATTATATTCTGCATTAAATGTGTAATTAAAAGTTATGCACCTGAAGGAAAATCTGGGGACTGCCTATGATTACAGTGTATTGTGGTCATAAAATATTAATCACCTACCTAAAATTTACAATATTTAAATTTGAGAAAATAAAAATGTCAAAATGAATTTATTTAAAAATAATTGTGTGAACTTACCATTAAACCAGCAAAGAGGTTCTCCAATACCTGGTGCTAGTTTCCGTAGCGTTTGGTGTTTTGAATGTTCAAAAAAAAAAACAGTACATACGAAAATACTTGAAAATCCCCAACAATAAATATTGTACATAATGGAACGTACTGATGTTGATGTATTTCTGTTTATTGAAATGTTGTACCTAAATTAAAAATATGTTGAAAATATTATATGCAGTTATATGAGCTGTTATAATTTCTGCTTTTAGATTATAGAATCATCACCTTGTATTATAATATGGTATACTGGACACTGGTATAATGCATTATGTAATAGGTATAATATTATATAAGCCAGATTATGAATTCGAAATAAAATATTTTGATTTTGATTTCAATTTTGCTAATTGCTACCTACCTATTATATTTTCCGATTGCAATTAAAAATAATATATTGAATTTATAATTTAATGATTTTTATTATTTTTATTTATTTTTGCTTTGTTACACAATATTAGTTAAATCTTTTCTGTTTTTTATTTAGATAAAATTTAATAATAAAATATAAAAATAAAAATTTCTTTTCGATAAAAATTTCACTATTACATTATTGAGATTTTAATTTTGATTCTACCTACGAACCATACGTGCTGTATGCACATTTCATATATACTTGGAGGTTAAACATTCCTAAGAAAGTAAAATTTCATACCGATGAGCAATATTATCATTGTTAATTATATTGTTAAATTTAAATCTAAATTTATTTTTACAATTTGAATAGATTTTTTAATAAAAATCATTATACGATTATTATTTTGATTTAACTTATTGATTTTAAAAATTTCAATTTTGAAATTATTCTTATTGATTTCATAGAGGAATTTTATCAATATCTTTAATCGAATAATAAACAACCTAGTTATATAGCAATTGGTAATGGTAATTTAGTAAATATCCTTATATACTCCAAACTAGATACTAGGTACTAGGTACTAGATAACAGTTACTATGTACCTATTCAATTATAATATTATTTATGACATGTTTCTTTTATTGGTACATTACTGATGGATAGGTATTCATTAAAATAATTGCTATTTATATACATTTCCGATTATCATTTTATACCAAATGATACATACCCCACACAGCATAAAAATATTTTCAGGAAAATAGTATATAGTTGTCATAATATTTTAAAAAGTTGAATAAATAATTAGGAAATATTTTATTTATATGCTTTGACCAAGAAGCTTATATTTTTGAAAATATTTTACAAAAACGTATTTTACGAAAAAATGTAATCATATATTTTCAAAAAACATTTTTAAGGAAACTTTATAAAAATATTAAGTCAACATTTTCATGCAATCATATAGTACAATATTTTCTTATGATGAGAAGAAAATATTCATAAAATATTATTAGTCAAATCTTCATTATGCAAGCAATTTGGAATGTTCACAAATTATTATCATTTCCCAAATGCTGTGTGGGACCTATATGAATGTATAATTACGTCAAATTTACACATTTGCACATGCCAGGGTGTGGGGTCACGTCTTATCCCGTATAGTTATAATAGAGGATGACGAGTTATAGTAATTACGTATAAGTTTAATTAGAATTACCTGCCTACTTATTTGTAGCCTAAAAGTTTATAACACCACACAAATATACACATTATTGTTTTACACATTTTTTCACTATATTACGTAAGAATATAATTGCCATACCTTAACATCCAGTAAATATCGAAGCATATTATGTTTGAACAGCAATATGTTGTCATTAATGCATATAAAGTAAAATAACCTAAAATTTCACTTTCAATTAATTCGAAATACATAGATAAAAAAAAATAATAATTAATAGTAAATATTATAAGTAATGTGGAAGCCAAAACATGTATACCGATAAAACAAATAATAACGGCCATATTTATCAGATGCATGGACAATTAGTTGCGTGAAGTTGCACGACGTATCGATTTTATATTTTATTGTTATTTGACTTTGTATTTGACTTTCGAAATAAACAATACAATTTTGTAAATTTAAATTATATTTAAATTGTTTTGAGATAATATTTAGACATATGTCATTCCCTCAACAATATTATTCTCTATCTTTTATGTTATGGGTGATTTTACTCTGAGATTACTTAAAAACATAGAAAAATTATTCTGGGGAAATGCGTTTTGTCTATGTGGAATTGTTGCGTGTGGGTCAGGGAGAGAAAACAAATAGTGGGCTGACATCAGCTTCTTTTAACATGCCAAAAACCGATAGTGATTATTTTTAATTTTAAACACGTAATGTAAGTAATAATAGTTTTGAATCAAAAATTACACCAATAAGGTATTTTTCAGATGTTTGACTGAATAAGTGATTATAGATAACTTATAATTAATAGTTATATGAGGTTATGTTTTTGAAAAAAAAATATAATATAGTGACATTTATTAATAGCCAATCCATTAGAACTACACCAATATTGTTAGAATTTTCATTTTCTAAATTATTTTGTAAGAGTATTGCGTTTTCTTGACTATTGCTTGGTTTTAAAAAGGGTTGAATCATCAGCAAAGAGCAAAATATAAGAATAATATTGTAAAGCTAAAATAATATCATTAATAACTAAATTAAAGACAAAATGTGAGAGGTGGTAACTTTGGGGACACCTGACATGACGAAATACGATCAGAAATAAAATTGTTGTATTTATTAAACTGTGATCTACTCATTAAAAATGAGTGTAGTCAAATTATAAGAGAATAAGCAAAGACAATTTTTGCGAGTTTTAAAATTAAGAGCAAGTGGTAAATTCGATGAAACAGCATTAGTCTCCTGATTATTTGAAAATTAATTTAAATGGAAATTTTATAATTTATCACTAATCAAGTTGTAACTGTAGGATATTTTACAAAATTAATATTGTTGTAGGCTACCTATATGGTATTATAAAAAAGAGAAGAAGTAGTTCGTAGTTTTAAAGAAGTTGTAATGATAGATATAAAGGACGGCAGTTATATATTATACCTAGATTTATTTGTTAATCTTTTTTTTAATAACATTTTTGTATTTTTGGGGGGTCTTTTCATCCCATCTATTGGTTTTTAACCATGGATTTGTTTTGTGTTGAATACATTGACTTGGATGTATTGGTACAATGTATTACGCCATTAAATATTTTTTTCCAAAACAATTTATAACATAATATAGTATTAATAGTCTTAGATATATTGCTATATTATGTGGTATGTGGTAATGTGGTAGGAATTAATCAAATAATGATAACAATGTAGATAAGACATACCATATAGAACGCACAAATGGTCAGTTATGTTTTGCCTTGTCCACCTAAGGCCTATTAGGCATAAGTACGACACAATATTGCAGGCCATGTAACACTGGATGTAGTAGTTGTGAGTGTTCCGGAGGCTGGGAAGTATGTTGTACACGAGTAGCGTGAGCGCCAGGAACACGGGAGACGCTATGTTACTATACCGAATGGAGAAGAGCAGCCAGTTCAAGTTGCCACGTGTGTCCTTGGCTATGGCCGGGAGTTCACCGTCATCGGCGCACACAAACGCCTGCAGGCGCGCCTCGTTGTAATACTCCACACAGTACCGGGTGTCCGGTAAGCGTTGGCCGTCGCCGGTAAGGTAAAGGCTGCCATTCGTTGTCAACATGAACACGTCCTTCACCATTCGTTTCCGGGAACACTGGAGGTTGAGTTTGTACGGCAATACCGTGCTGTTCGACCGGCCCACAGGACGGCCGTCCGCGTCTGTTTCATAGGCGGACATCGTGAACGGCTTCTTGCTCTGCTTGCACTTCCAACCACTGCATAATATATTATAGTCGTTAGTGTACTTAGGGGAATATGGTATTCAAATGGCGATGCCAATGTCAATGTCAATTTCATTTTTTATTTTTACAACATTTAGTTGATACGTTGTTATTATTACTTAGGAATGACCCTATAGGATGTGTAAAGGTATCACCAATTTCTGACCCAAACACCTGTCTACGAAAAAATTAATTAAAACTACAGTAGCTTACATTAAAACCAGAATGGATATTATTGAATTTACAGTATTGAATATTATACTATAAAAGAATCTCATGACGCTATATTTCGTTGTCTACCTCTCTCTGTCCAGCCCACCCACACATAGCTAATTTTTACTCAGCAGAACCAATTCTACGTTTTTTTTTAAATTAGGAATTGGAAAACGGATTGTTATAAAAACAGGTAGGTACAAATGTTAACCATGTGAATACGTGTTTTTTTTCAACTTCTCAATTTTTTTTGTGATATTATTATTATGTTTAAACTATAGTAAAATGTCATAACAAGACAGTTAACGTAAAAAACACAGATAATTATCGTAAATTTATGATTAACAAAAGTTCAATTCACTCTAACATTAAATATTTAAATCTAACAACATAAAATTGATTCTGCTTAATTCAAACTTTCGGTGGTTCAGAGAACCAACTTTCTCGGAGTTCAGAGAGTAAGACAAATAGGTCGTGTGCTGACTACCGGCAGCCAGCATGCACAAGAATTTATTTATTTATTTTTTTTTTTTTGTGGGAGAAGGGGTTCATTAACATAATTTATATAATAATATAATATTTATACTTCAATTAAGATTTAACGTTGACTACCCACATTTGTATTTCTTATATACGTGTTTAAACGTTTTTTTTTTTTTTTTTTATTGATCCTTAAGCCCGGCTCCTATGGCCATTAGCTGTTTGTAGGGTTGTATTGTGGTGGTGGTAGGGTTTGGAATGGTAAGTTTTTTTTACACGTGAATGTTTGTGTTTGGCAGAATTTTTGATTGGGCACCTGTAGGTATCTGCCATGCCCGGGTGGAGGATGGCGGCACTTGTTCTCCAGACACCGTGACTTGCCCGAAGAAAAATGCCGCCCGGTGACCAAAGATCGAACCCGGATCGGCTGCACCGCTGAACCGCGTTGGACCGCTCGGCCACCTGGTCCCCCGTTTAAACGTTTATATGTGAATAAACGTCCAAAGTTTAATCATACTCAAAAAAGTTTAACTGTAGGTAGTAGGTACGTGATTAATTTATCAAATGTTATCATTTATCAGCAATTTCTATTCACCATACAAGTACAAGCTATTTATGTGCACAAGACATTTTTTTTTTGATTACAAAATACAAAAATTTGTATAAAAAATGAGAAAATAAACATTCAGTGAAACATGCATGTGTCTATAATTATTATTTTTTGAATTACAACAAAATAACAAAATCACCACATGAGAAATCGAGTGAATATCCAATGATGTAAAAATTTGAACTTCGAACGCTCATAAAAATTTAATTTGACTTTTTTACTGACATATTGTTTTTGATAATGGTATATCTTTATATAACATTATTAAGATTCTTGTATTACATTTTATAATCTTAGATTTGAATAGAAAAATTCAAACCGTTCACACTGTTGAACGATCTATGGAAAGTTTATGTTGACCAAAAGTAAATAATAATATAATATGATAATTACATTAAACTTATTACTTATATAGGTACTACTAGGCGGTATTATAACATTATTGAAATTATAATATAATTTAATAAATGTAATATTTTCACTGAGAATGAATTGAACCTTACAAGTTACAGCAGAGCAGTATGTTACCAGTTACATAATAATTCTTCACTTTACTCTACTCGTACTTAAAAACCCACCTATAAGCCAAATCATATATATTATGTATAGGTAGCAGTTTTCATGGGGACGTTTTTCAGGGACGTACCCATTGACCCGGGTGGTATTTTATCCTGTGTGCGCTGTTGGCAGCTTTCATACATAAACATGATTAGACTTGGGCGCCACTTTACAATGACAAATAAAACAAGTACCAGGCAACTAGAGCTCAAACACGGTGGATGCTTTCTCCGCATATCAAATTCATAATCTCTAGGTATCATAATATTCATAGACCACCCGAATCCCACCAGCTAAATTAGGTCTGGCACTTAACAAACTTGAACCCTGTTCTCGAATCTACTGTGTGTATGTAGGTACGCACACATTCAACATTTTTCCAATCAGGTCAACTCCTAATCTAAACCATACCTTTCCCGCCAAAATACCACGGCACCAGATGCAGCTGTAGATACGCTCGGTATAAGCATAACATTAGTATATTCTTATATATAGGCTTCCGTGGACTTACTCGTCATTGTAGATATACATAATATGGTCGGCCATGCAGCACTTGTTGACGCACGTGTAATTTCCCTTGCCGCAGTACTGGTCACGTGGCCGGCACGTCCGGGCCACCAGCTCATCGGATGGCGTCAGGTCGAAGCAGTAGTCCGGCGGCAACTCGACGGCCGACGGTTCTACTTCCATCAGCCTACTCACCTCCACGGCGGGCACGTCGACTAGCACTTGCGTGTCGTTGCACGTTGGTGGCATAAAATAGTAACCCACCATCATCGAATCTGCAGCCACCCGGAATCTGCCCCACAGTCTCTGGTTCATCCGCCGTAGGTTCTCGCCACCGTCTGCCCCGGATGGTCCGCAGAACCGCACTTCCGGATCGTACGGCCGGCCCGGCGGACAGCACTTCCGGACTGTCACGGCCGTCCGGTGGTCATCGCAAGTGCCTCCGCCAATGGCCTCGACCGTGTGGAACGTCCGATTTTCGTTCTGGCAATTCGTGACTTCGAATCCGAATCCGAGTCCGTCTCCGACTCCGACTGAACTACTGTTGCAGCAGACCACGGCGTCGGTGGCCGACCAGCCGACCGCGACAACGAGAAACGCGACGATGGCGGCGAAACACGATCGGACGATATTCATCGTGTGTGCACACTGTTTGGGAGGCGTCGGCACATTCACTATCGCAACTGTCGGCCGCCGCGTATGTCAGCAGTGGAGACCATTCGACGAGCCGCCGCGCCGCCGCGCTCTTATATATTATTATAAAAATGTAGGGGAAGTGCGGCGTTTGCCGCCCATCGGGTAATGCCGCCCACTATGATTACTCGTAATGAATATTTATTCAAGGTTTGTTTGCTGCACTGTTGTATTTTAAATACGATATTAATGTTATCAATTATCATATTGTAGTATTCTGCCAATCGGCTGATTGTTGGAATACTCGGTTGCAGGTGGCAAGACCGTTGATGTTAAGATAATTCGGGTGGTTGTTGAAATAGTAGACAGATGAAAGTTAAAGTGTTTATTTAAATGTTCTGCAGTAACATATTCTAAGTCCAAATTGACCAAATTGTTATACAGTTTGTCGTGAAGGTAAGTACATAAAAGCATGGGCATTTAGCTTAAGTTTTGAAATGTTTTAAGTACCGAAGTCCTAGTCAAGGGGCCCCTTGTATCCGCATCTGAGTAGAATGAGCGAACACGTCTGAATACAGGCCGCAATCTTATAGTCCTGTCTTCGCTCCCCCTGTCTATCGATGCTGTATCATTGCTCTCACGGATGTGGCCATTGAACTCGTGGAATCCTTAATCTATTCTGAGTATTACAATATAACACATACTGTCATTTAATTTATTATACGCAATTATAATGTCTCCTCATTATATTTCTTATAGGTAGTTGATATCCGTCATTTCTATGGCAATATCACATCCGCCTATTCTATGAAATTCTAGAATTTTATTAACTTGACGTGGTATTATTTAGAATACCATTTCCCACTGAGCCAATAATAATAAGGTATCAGAAATAAATATTTTATATAATATATTAATTATATACGATATACCTATACAATAGGTACCTCGTACCTATAATGTATATAATAATTATGGTATTAATTATTAGGTGGGTACATTTCTTTGTAACTGGTTGAACTTTATATATTAACATGGATTTTTGTAGACATGTCCTACATTTTCATATAGAGTAACTAACTTTAATAATTACATATTACCGCATTGATTATAAATATTAGTATTTACTTGTATTTATAATCAATGCTTTTATTTAAATGGCAAAACAAAAAATGATAATCGTTTATTGTAATTGTTTAGCGGCTATTGGTGATATCGAGTAGATAAGTGTACAAAACATGAATTTATTAAACTAGATAACATTAAAAATTTAATTTAACTTAGACTCTTATTTAGAGAAATCAAAAACCAGTTAATGAATAATAATTATCATTTAACTTATTATCTACTCTACTGTGGTATCATATTGATATAAATTACTACTAAGGTTTTCAATTTTTTCTGCTTGGATTATTAATTTGTTTGCGTTTTCTTCTAAATCTTTGGATAAATTATTTAAATGGTCGTTATTAATTGTTTTTGGTCTATTTATAGCGCTATTACTCGTTTCTGGGCTTGAATCACTTAAATTGCTCTGTGTGAGTAATTCTGTAATATCAATTCTATCTTCTATTGAATCCTTTTGAACTTTGAGTTTTTGTAGATCACTTAAAGTTTCTTCGATGTCGCCTAATTCTACGATCCCCTTATAGTATCTAGATAATCTAGCCCTTAGGTTATCTACGGTTCCTACACTTTTTAATTGTTTAGATTTGCATAATTTAATAAGATCTGGTTTCTTTTGTATATAAATATCGGTTAATTTTGTAATTTTTTTTCCCAAAGCTATAAGATGTTCGTCATTCATATCATAATAAAATTTATTTTACTTAATTTGCTTAACACCTAAATAATTAATTTTTCAACAGTTTGAAACTTAAATTAAAATATTTTTGTGGTTATTTAATATTGAATAAACATTTAAAAAAAATCCTATTTAAATTTATAATGAAACTAATCTACAATCCTAATATTAATACGTAAGTATATCTCTTAAATTAATATATTTTTGCGGTTATAATTATATCGAATAAAAATTTTGAAGAGAAAAAAAAAAGAAATAGAGAGAAAAAATTGAACTAAAAAAAAAATCCTATTTAAATAGTTTCTATAAAAAACCTTATCTACTTGTTTAAAACTTAAATTTTTGCTGTTATTTAAAATTGAAAAAAAAATTTTGAAAAATTATTGAACTAAAATTCTATTTAAATTGTTTTAAGAAAAATCTAATCTATAATCCTAATATAAGTATATTACAAAACGTTGCTCACCTTGGTGTATACTTGTAGACGCACGGTTGCAAAAATTGTACCACGCGGCACAAAACTGCTGTCTTGTCGGTCAGACAAAAATCGAACGCGTAGGTGTTACTCACTCGGTATACACACGCACAAAAATTGCGTTCTGGGTTTACACTGCACCCAAAACACAAAAGGTATATTTTACTTTAACGGAAAAAATCACTAAACTCGCTCCGGGTTTTACTATCCGAAACGTGCACAATTGTTGTACTTCACTTGTACCAAAAAAAAAAAATGGTGTGTCAAGGGAATCTCTCCCAGACTACACGTAAAAACTGTCGTACTTCTCGTACGTAAACACTTTCAAAAATTAAACTTGCCAAGGTTGAGGTACCAGGGCACAAAAAATCGAAAAATTGTCTCCGACCGTAGGTAAGTAACCCCGTTGGGCGCCACTCTGTGGTATCACCCGTATTGGATAATACGCGGTAAACCAACTTTATACCTTACCCTCGTACGCTCTAGGCTAATGACTGTCTCTAGAATAAATTCAGATTAGCACTGTTAACCTTTGAGGTACGATGGTAGCGTTTTGTCAGTTCTTCGTTCGTTTCCTAAATTGGAATGACTATTAGGACGCCACAACCAGAGCACTGTTCAGTTTGTAATAAACCTCATTGACTATAGGTGTGTGGGTCTGAGCACTGTTCCAATATTAAAGGTAAGAACGAAGAAGACTTTGAAATAAAACTCAACTCGGGTTTTTAGGTCGGAAACACTTTTATTATATTAAAACAAACATAAATTAAACCCTTAGCAAATCCGGATTGCCTAGCCCGTACTACGATCGACGTTTCACCTACGTCCTCGCCGATTCACTCAGCGACAACGGGACTCTCTGTGCCTGCGCGTGCGGCGGTGTTATATAGTAATCTTATCGCTGTCTCAGCACATATGCTTCACTGACCTAAGTCAATAGTTTACAATTTAAAATGTTCCCACCTCTATTACATATATGAAATAATATTTTGACGACTGTCTACAATATACGACACTACTAATGAATATTATTTATGTTGTACGATATACTATTGAAACTACCTACACGATATGTTATTGAGGTTTCAGGTTAGGATATGTTCTGATTGACAAAATGTCGAATGTGCGTGTATTGAGTGGCGCCGAGAACATGGTTCAGTGGAATTGGCAAGTGACACACCTAATTTTGGGGGTGGTTGTTGGGTGATACAATTTATTTTGTATAAATGTCTATAAATATTATGATAACTAGGTATTGTGGAAATTATAACAATATTGACTAATGAATTTTATACGCGGAGAAAGCATCCACCCGGTTTGTGTTTTAGTATTGGGTAACTGGCCAATTCGGCGAACGAATATATCGGCGAATAGATATATTGGTGAAACCACAAAACCTAATCGGAAATTTAAAAATTTATATTCCATATTATATAATTCAATAATTTAGTCAATAATAAGTTAAATAAAATAGATGTCCTAGGATCATATACATATAAGTATATAATAATAATTACTAAATAATAAAAATAATACTTAAATAAAAAGAGACGTTTTAGGACCATATAATATATACTTATAATAATTACTTTGTAAAAATGTATAAGTCCACATTATGTGTCAACTCTAGTTGACCCCCATCAAAAATAAAACGTATATATATATTATATATATTACTTAATTTTAACTATTTTCTTTCTATATTTAGAATATGGTTTGTATAATAATGTTAAATCGATTTTTGTATAATAGATTATTTTAAAATATGTTAAGTAATCATCTTTATAATAGATGTAAAAATGGGAGTAGATCATAAATTATATCTTCGGGAGTGTTGAAGCGTCATAATATTTTATTCAATTTTGTATAATAATACATGACACTGCGATTCAAAATTCTTTTTATAGTTTAAATACAAATTACAAAGTTGGACTTAGTGACTTTTGCATAGTTTACATGTAGGTAATATTATAGTGTGTTGTGCGTGTATGTAACTGTTGACCTGACACAACCTAAATTTATCAAAATCAATACATTTTCATACAATAGTAGTACCTATATAATATTATTGTTATTCTTTTGTTATAATCAAAAATATATATTTTTAAAATGTTTTTTATTTTTTTTTAAATTAAATTTTCTAAACATATATAATATTAACCATTTAGCACCTCCCCATTCAGTCCGTAAACTTCGTAATCGACCGGTCTCTGACTTTCAGCTGCGGACGGTGCGTGTGCTTCTTCGCCATGAGCGGCCGGTGTGGATGCTTCACCGCCGGCGATGGCTGACGGAGTGTTTGACTGTTCATCTCCGTAATCTTCCACTGCCTGGCGTTTGATGGATTGATGGGCAAATTCCGGCTGTTGGTCCTGTTGCACCTTTTGCGTCTGTTCGGCTGACATGTCCTCCGAGCACGTGGCCATGGCTGCCAAACACGCCAAACCGATCAACACCTGTCAAAGTAAATAAGTTCACGAGTTTATAATATGGTTATAGTAAGTATTGTCAACCATCATACACGTTTGACAACCGTTTTCGGTTAGGTTAGGTTATATTTATATTTATTGCAGTTGCTGTGGATTATTGCAAAATGTTATTTTTTATAATAAAAGTGAACATTAAAATTCATAAAAAATATCAATTAAAAAATTTAACATTTTTTTGTTATTTTATTGGAAAGAATTTATCCATTTCTTTATAAGTATATATATATTTAGAACAAAGATAAATTATTAGAGTAAGATATAACATAAATAATATAAAATTAGATAAATTGAATTTTTTGATTATAAAATACTATTTTATTTTTATTATAATATTACAAAAAAAAAAAACAAAAAAGGAATATTTAAAGTCTTCATAACTAAACGCTCGTCACTTATATTTTGACTTCCCTCACAGAGATTAATGTCATATCAGCAAATCTTTTAAACGGAAAATCTCGTTTCTTAAATAAATTCTTAAAAACACCTATTTAATGTATATTTTTTTAAAAACATAGACTTGATGCATACAATGTATGCACAGTACAAATTCTTCCTTAACAGTCAACCGTATTCAATGTTATAAATAAACATAATAAATACCTATCCTATAAATATTATTTTCACAAATAATTTAAGATGATTCGCTAGCGGAATGTACTGTAGTGTATTATGCAAATAAACCCGTCCATCGAGGACATACACACGATTATTAACAGATGTAGGTAGGCACACAAAATCAAAATGATGTGTCAAATTTAATCATTTCGATGGCTAAGAGGTAGACCAAAGTGGTATATATAATCCGATTGTTCCGTGAAAATCGTCAGTCAACAACAGCACACGCCACAGTGCCAACACCTACAAGGGGCTCACCGTCCATTCTTATCGTATATTATACCTCTATAATAACTGTTATCATCGAGACGTACCGAATCCAATTTGTCATTATGAAAATACATGTGAGTTTTTGTATTATTCTTATTCTTATTTTTTTTTGTATTTTCTTTCCGAGTTAAATAACACCGTTAACCGACGACAGTCGTATAGTCCAGTAATTTCCAATTATTGGCATTCACCACGAATCTCTAAGTAAATATTAAATTGCAAGGGAACTGTCTATCATTTACGCACAAACAAGCCAATCCTCAAAAAAGTTTATCGTGTTCATTAGTTAAAAAATAACATTTTGCAATAATCCACAGCAACTGCAATAAATATAAATATAACCTAACATAACCGAAAACGGTTGTCAAACGTGTATGATGGTTGACAATACTTACTATAACCATATTATAAACTCGTGAACTTATTTACTTTGACAGGTGTTGATCGGTCTGGCGTGTTTGGCAGCCATGGCCACGTGCTCGGAGGACATGCCAGCCGAACAGACGCAAAAGGTGCAACAGGACCAACAGCCGGAATTTGCCCATCAATCCATCAAACGCCAGGCAGTGGAAGATTATGGAGATGAACAGTCAAACGCTCCGTCAGCCATCGCCGGCGGTGAAGCATCCACACCGGCCGCTCATGGCGAAGAAGCACACGCACCGTCCGCAGCTGAAAGTCAGAGACCGGTCGATTACGAAGTTTATGGACTGAATGGGGAGGTGCTAAATGGTTAATATTATATATGTTTAGAAAATTTAATTTAAAAAAAAATAAAAAACATTTTAAAAATATATATTTTTGATTATAACAAAAGAATAACAATATTATTATATAGGTACCTACTACTAATTGTATGAAAATGTATTGATTTTGATAAATTTAGGTTGTGTCAGGTCAACAGTTACATACACGCACAACACACTATAATATTACCTACATGTAAACTATGCAAAAGTCACTAATTCCAACTTTGTAATTTGTATTTAAACTATAAAAAGAATTTTGAATCGCAGTGTCATGTATTATTTACAACCATTCAAAAACAACTACATTGCCTAAAAGAAAATCAATTAAAACAAGCAAAATTAAAATTTGGTTATTTATAAAGTTTGAAAAAATGGCCAAAGATGATTCTCGAAAATCGTGTTCTTAGACTTAGTGTGCTTTGCATGATCGGGGTCGATATGATGTCCCAGTTTGGCTATATTTAGTTGTATAGTTGTGTTATCTGCTGATTTTTATGGGGCCCTTTTTTTTGTCATTTACAGTTGTGATTATCATCAAATAAGTGTTAAAAGCTGTACTTACCCTTTGGCAAGCTCGTACCTTTTTTAACTTCCATTATTTTAAATTAGAAAATACCTACATTTTTTTTTAATAAACAAAATGTTCCGTTGATTTTTAATTTAATTAATTACATTTTAGGTAATTCATAAAATTAAATATTTCTAGATTATTCAATCATTGATACCTCAAATTAGAAAAGTTGAAACTAGTGTAGGTATGCTATCTATGAACATTTAATTTTTATCATAAAAGGAAAAACTGGGTTTACACTGCAATATTGTACTTTTCCCTACCTCTACATCTATCTCATAATCTAGAAAAGCAACGTTCAAAGTTCTAACGATCATAACCATGTGTAATAAAAACCTCTCTATAAAAAAAACATGTTTATACGTGATTTTTATAATTCTAAACCTTTAGATATAGAAAAAATAGTTAATTTTCAGATTAAATTAGAAGTCCAAAATAATAAGTTCTGTCCGTAAAACTGTTATGCAACCAGAAAGAAAGTAAAATTATTAAAGGTTGTCAGGATACTATAATGAAATAAGCATGGGATTATCTATTAGGTTGTAACGATTCTGAATGTACGGACCACTCCTTTCTCCGCTAGTCCGCGCCACCAATACTGCGCGCCCGAGTACCGATACGACATTTCGCTCGCGGACTAACGGTAGATCGCGCTCAAGGACAACTCATCATAGATCCGACTGGGGATCGCTGATTAATGATACAATTGGTCCCTCCAGGGGGGATTAATGATAGCAAACTAGTAAGGGCATACATTCTGAACAGATTCCTATGTACATCCGAACCCCTATCGACCCGGAAAACCCTCAGCGGCATCGAAACGGGTATGTTGTCATTCGCTAGGCTGACAATCGGGAATAAGCGCAACAGCGCATATAGGAAGGCCCGACGGCCGGCTCACCGATTCCGCTTTTCCGACCAAAATACTGGTAGGAATAGACACCACCGTCCAGAGTCGTGGGTAAGGCATTAAAACCCCTTACTGTCCGACTGCCTGGTACCGTGCCTATTCCCACCAGTAGTCGTAACTCTTTTTTTTCTGCGTCCGTATACGCCTATAAGACTCCTTACTTTCCAACCATATCAAACGGCGTAGTGTAACAGTCCGGGTACGGCATTAATACCCCGTACTGTCGATCGTTATACTACGATACGCGATTTGGTCGATGTGAAAGGAGTCTAGTAATTTACACTCTCTTATCGCTCTAAGGAGCAAGTAGTAAATTGTTAGGGTGCCGTTGAAGGTGAATATATTGGCTACTGCTGCAAAAACTGTAAGTCGGATTTTTATTGTTATTTCCAATTGTACTAAAACGTACCGAAGTTATATTTTGTTTGTATAAAATTTTACTTGTTATAATTATTATATTTGAATTATATTCCTATCTTGATTTTACCCGTAATCGGACATCCGGGATAATTAAATTCGTATTACTACGTGTATATTATATTCTATGTTCTATATTGTATTTTGTTTTATGAATTTGTTTACGTCAATACAATAAATGATATTACCCTTAATGAATATGTGTTCCGTTCATTACAAGGTTGTTTATTACTGTGAATACCAAATACGTCGCCAAATAGTATAATAACGAAGAGACTAATAATATATAAACGGCGGTTCATCCGCGAGCACACACGTCGTGCTCAGCGTAACGGCGAAACAGGACGAATTATAATAATAACGTAACAACAGGTTTTAAGTAAAGAGTAACCTACTCGGGTTCGAGCAACGTCAGTTAAGTCGAGTACGTCGAGTCCTGAGGTGGCAACAAACCAGATATATAACGGTTTTTAAGTAAAAAGGAACTATATAACACAACGATTACGGCTTTTGAGTAAAGAGGAACCTTATAATGGCAGTTTGGCGCAACCTCGGAAACATCCGTCGTGTCCGACGACGGCCAACAAAGAGAGCGAATACGGCTGCCGAGGCCAGTCCGATAGGCCACACTTCCGGTGTTGGCGTAATGACAAAAATATAGCTAACAAATTCTTTAAAGGTTTAAAAAGAATATTACAATTTATTCTGAATTTATATTAGAGTTTATATATTTAATATTAAAAATAAAATTAATTTAGTTTACTAATTGTTAGGGCTTTTTTAAGTTTTTTTAGTATATTAAATTCATCAATAATCCTTATACCGAGCGTATCTACAGCTGCAGCTGGTGCAGTGGTATTTTTGAGGGGAACGGTATGGCTTAGGTTAGGAGTTGACCTGATTGGCAAAATATTGAATGTGTGTGTACCTACATACACACAGTAGTTTCGAGAACAGGGTTCAAGTTTGTTAAGTGCCAGACCAGTACCGTGGTAACTCTCATTGGTGCCCCAGGGCAATAATATTTGGCACCCCTAATAAACATACATATTTAAACATTTTCAGCGCTTTAAAATGTTACAAGTTTGGCAGCCCTATGGCACTTGCCCTATTTGCCACCCCCTTATAGCACGGCTCTGTGCCAGACCTAATTTAGCGGGTGGGATTCGGGTGGTCTATGCATATTATAATACCTAGAGATTATGAATTTTATATGTGGAGAAAGCATCCACCGTGTTTGAGCTATAGTTGCCAGGTACTTGTTTATTTTGTCATTGTAAAGTGGCGCCCAAGTCTAATCATGTTTATTGTATGAAAGCTATACAAATTACAGGTTCCAATAATGTATATAATATGATTTTATATTTATATAGGTACATTTTTTTGTCACTGGTTCTGCTTCAAAATATTAACATAGATAATTAACATAGATCCTTGTAGACACGTACCTACATTTTCATACAAAGTATCTATTAACTAACTTTAATAAGTACCTATTACCATATTGATTAAAAAATACTTGTATTTATCATCAATGGTTTAATTTAGAGACAAAACAAAAAATTATATTTGTTTGTAATTTGTATAGCTGTTATTGATGATAGCTAGTAAATAAGTAGGTATACAAAACGGACTAACGTGAAATTATGAAACAGATTCATCAGTCATCGAGAGAAATCGAAAACCAGTTAAAACATATGGTATGATGAATAATTATTATCATTATTATTGACTCAACGAATGAATATTATTTACGATGTAAGATTTACCTATATCAAGTACCCTCCACTACCCCCCCCCCCTCTTGTGGGTCTAGTTGCGGATGGTCCAAAATTCCCAGTTTCAAAAGCTCACGGTGGCCACCATAGTTACTTGAAAATGTCTGGAATAATCACTACCTGCTTCGAACTTTCAGGTCAAAAACACCTCAACAACTTCAAAAGTTAGCAGCCACTTCATAGCGATTATTGAATAACTTACACATTTTAAGAAGACACTAGCGAATACTTGCAAATTATAAGATATCGTTTGGTGCCAATTTCAAAGTTTTATTACTAAAATTATGATGATTTGATTAAATTATTATGACCTAACTCTATGTATACTTACGTATTGAATTATGAAATTGAAGGTAGCACAAAATGTGTTGCTTATATTTTTTTTACAACATTCTTTTTGTAGTTTATTGGAAATTAATAAAAGTGAATATTAAAATTCAAGAAAAAGATCAATATTTAACAAATTAAATTTTTTTTTTTTATTAGATAGGATTTGTCCAATTTTTTTTTTTTAGAAATATGCAATATCTATTTAAACTAAATATAAACTAGTAAATTATAACATACCTAATATATAATTGAATAAATCTTATTTGTGATTATTAACTATTGTTTTAATTTTATAATAACCCCACAAGACAAAAACGTAGTATAGAAAGCCATAAAAATTGCTCTCTATACCCACTTTGCCATTTTCACTTCAAACATTCACGAATATTTTGGAACTTATTTGGAACTTATTTGAACTTAATTCTCCTAATATTTGGAACTTAAAACTTTTCCTAGTAAATTGTTATGTTGGTTGGCACATTTTAATGAAAATGTATAAGTCTTGATAAGACTATCATGATAATATATAGTTAAACCCAGAGAATCCACTAATCTGCTCTCCAACCTTTATTTAAGGTGGCCTAAATCTGAAATACTTCGCCGACCAATAAAAATTTGGACGAAATAAGATATTTAAACAAAGAATAACGATTATTATGGTATAAATCTGTGAATACCTATGCATTGAGTTATGGAATTGCATAAACTTGTTGCTTATATTTTCTTTAAATCATATTCTATGCAGTTTATTGAAAATTAATAAAAGTGTATGTACATTAAAATTTAAAAAATATCAATTAAACAATTTAACATTTTTTTTTTTTGTTATTGTTAGATAGGGTTTATAAATTATTTTAACATAAATTCACTATGTATTTAGACTAAAGATAAACTATTTGAGTTAAATATAATATACCTAATATAAAATTGGATTCAACGTATTTTCTGCTTATTAACTAGGTATTATTTCATTTTTATAATAACCACAGAAAACAAATACGTAATATTTAATGGTACAAAAATAATAATTTTTTTTATGCCCTAGTCTTTACCTATTGTAAGTATGTGCCCCATGTGAATGGGTAGTACAATACTGTATATACTGACTTATCTTTGTCAACTAGAAATCTTTGTGTTTTCGTATCATCGGTCACTTGAATTTATTGAGTTCAGATTTGATTCTTTAACAATGAATAGCAGTTAGCAAGAACAAAATTAAATTGTTCCGTAGACAGTTATGTCTGGAAAAATATTAAATACAAATTAATAATTATATATTTATAATCATGCAATATATAAATTTAATTTAGAAAACCAGTGGCGCATATTATGTTCATTCAAAGTTATATTATGGCAAAATGTTGAACTTTATACAAACACCTATACCGTCGATAGATACCTAAGTATGACATATAAGCATATTATTTAAAAAGAGATTAGAGAACCTTGTTTCTTAAATAAATTCTTAAAAACACATTATTAATATTTATTTTTAGATTCTGAGCGGAGTGTGGGATAAACTGTTTTTACAATGGACTTTTTTTTTTTTATACAAAATTTCTACCAGAAGAAGTGCTTCGATTTCAACATAATATCCTATCTTATCTTTTAGAAAATTGGATCATGATGGTAATTTATTTAGAGAGGTCATTTTTCGATTCTCTCAATAGTTATTTAATGCCAAGGGAAAAACCACCGACAAATTACAAAAAACGCTAAAAATAGGATTTTAATTTCATGTATACTGTACAGTAGAGTGACATCCACTGTCCCGCTTTTTTTTAAAACTTATATTAATTGATGCTTACTATGGTGATTTTATTCTAGGCACAGTCCAAATTCTTCCTCAATAGTCAACATTATTTAATGGTATAATGATATAATATATTGGCCAATAAATAAACATAATATTAAACCTATAGTATAAATTCAATGTTCACAATTATTTTAAGATGATTCGCTAGCACATTGTACTGTAGTTTGTTAAATACCTACTTGTTTAAATGCAAATAAACCCGTTCAACCGAGTTCACACAATGTGATGGTTAATAGATAAAGGTATACTAAATCAAAATTATGTGTCAAACGTTAACCATTTACAAGTATTTAAGAGGTAGAAAATATATCTTATGTTTTTAATTAAATATACAATATTCCAGTTTATTATAAATTATTACATTATATTGTAGTCATAAAATATTAACATGTACATCTAGCTAAAATTTACAATAATATTTATATCTAAGAAAATAAAAATGTCGAAATTAATTATTATTATTATTATTATTCTTACCGAAAAACCAGCAACTATACTGTGACCAATATCGTGTGCTTATTTCAGTAGCGTTTTGTATTGTGAATGTTGAAAATATTTCTCTATTAAAAAAAACATTATTGCTATTTCTTACAAATCACATAGAACTATTGCAGGTATATGTCATTATATAATATAATATGAAAATAAATGTACATAAGAGAAGTAAAAATGTCATCGTTTTTCCTCAGTCGTTATTATATTGGTAGGTACCATTGACTTGTATATTATATATTATTTAATATTTATGTACCAGCCAAATACATCTACTAAATATAAGTGAATACGCACTTTACTGTTGGCATAGGCAAATGTTTTTTAAGATTAACATAATCAGAATATCTAAACTTTCAAACATTTAAAATAAAATGAACGTAATAATAAAAAACCAGTATTTTTTAATAGTTAATTTATTTTAAAATTTGTACGAAATTAGATAGTTAAGAAGGATTTTAGTTTTGTGTTATATTTTAAAAATATTATTCGTGGGTACTTGAAACTTGTAATGTATATTATTATAGGCAAACATAAAAAACAAAGACAATATTAATTCAACTTAACCGGCTACCGTATAAATAATGACATTATATAAAAATTATTCTTAGCTGACAAGCAATCTCAGCTCAGAATCTTGTTTCGTAAAGGTACATATTTTATACTATACCCATTGAATTCAAATTTAACACCATGCATTATAGTCATAAACTTGAAACCTAAGCTACAACGGCCGACGGGTCCGCTTCCATCGGCGGGCACGTCGACCGGCAACTTAGGTACGTTACACGGCGGCTCATAATCGTAACGGCACGGCCACCCACCCGGAATGCGTCCAGCAGGCGCTGCATCATACTCCGCCGGAACTCGTAGCAGAACAGCACTTCCGGATCGTACGGCCGCCGCGGCGGACAGCACTTCCGGACAGGCACGACCGTCCGGTTGTCATCGCACGTGCCGCCGCCGATCGTCTCGAACTTTCGATTTTTGGTCCGGCAAGACGCGACGACGCCACCACCGCCGTTCACGACTGAACTACTTGTCGCGACAGACCACGACGGTCCACCAGCCGATCGCGACAACGAAAAACGCGTTGTTGGCACCGGAACGGACGGTATTCATCGTCAGCACTGAGGCACACACGGTTCGGGCGGTGGCAGCCATTTTCTTTCGTACGTCTCGTAGATCGTTGGACGCTCTGCCACCACGCTCGTATGTAATATTATAAAAATGTAATGTATTGGTTTTTGTGGCCCATATACTTATAATAATATTATTATATGAATTATGATTATTATTTATATTAATTATATATAATATAATTTGATCTATTTATGATACCACATCTTTATTGTACTTACTTCAAAATCTATTTTTACTTATCCGTTTTTACATGGAGTGTGAAGAATTATTGTTTTTGTTGTAATATCACCAATGTTATCAGTAGGTAGAAGTTTATTACTAAGTTTAATTTTTTTTATTCACTAAGTAGTAAGTACTTTTCCATATTTTGCATTCTTTTTTTGTAGGTACACTTTAGTTGGCATATTTATAATTAAATAATATCAATATATTATTGTACGTGAGGTATTAACACAGTAATATATTAATATTATTAATGGTAGGTACTAGTAATAATTTCAATATAATAAATTACATTAAATAAAATGTAACACATTTAAAGGAGCACACAGTTTTTTTTGAATTTGAAAGAATGTTCAATACAAAGAATAATGCTATAATGATATAGGTTTTACGTTTCTAATCATATTATTCAATTAGTTTTGAGCAATTGTAAAGAGACGTGGTTTATTATGTTCCTCAGTCAAGTTAACAACACCTGAAATATAATATATGAGTATACTGTGTTACAATATAAATTGTATTACGACGAAAGTTCAGAGCTTCAAAAATTTGCAATTTTCAAAATCTATTTTTAAAATAATCTTTTTTTCAAAAAAAAATGATGTAACAAAAAAAGTCAAAAGTAAATGTTTTATAATTCTTAAATATTTGTAAATTATATTTGTATTATTGTTATTGGTGTACAATTAAAAATTCAAAAATTTAAATAAATTATTATAAAATAAGTATCCTACATTTAATTGATTTATAATAATTATTAATATTAATTTTTGTTAGTTATACATTTTACTGTCAAACTATAAAAATGTATATCTAGAATAGTGCGTTTGACGTATTTTTCAGGGGGGGGGGGGTGTACATTTCTATGTATTGATGTGTTTTGAAATATGTTATTCCATTAAAACCTATATAAATATAAGGGGTTATATTATACTTATATAACCGTGTGTCCAGGGAAACCGAGAATACTTTAAACATGAAAAATCTAGTACATTATGGATTTTTTTGAATGCAAATTGGATCGATCATTAATTTGGACAATTTGATTAATAAATTCACTTGACTAAAATTTTTTTAAATTTATATATTTTGCGTTAATACTTTTTTTAGTTTATTGAAAATGAATAAAAGTGAACATTAACAAAAAATACCAATTAAACAATTGAACAATTTAAAATTTTTTTTGTTATTTTATTAGATAGGATTTATCCATTTTTTTAATATAAATATACTATAAATTTAGGCTAAAGATAAATTATATGAGTAAAATATAACATACCTGGTGTAAAATTGGATAAATTGTTTTTTTTATTATTAACTATTATTTTATTTTTATAATAATATCCACAAAAAACAAAAATGTATTAATATTTAAAGGCACAAAAATAATGATATTTTTATGTACTAAGGTCTAGAGTCTTAATATAATATAATAATATTTACATATTGAACTTAAAAATCATTATAACTTTTATGAGTATTGCCCAATGAAACTTTTATGACGATTCAGGGATAGTGTTAAGTACTGTCGACTCACTGTGATCCATTGAACGTTTAAAATTTTTCAGTAAGTCCATAATAATTTTGCGCTTGGCCACAAATATAATAAATACGAATACTCCTTGTAGACTGACAGTTGCATCAAAAATGTCCCATATGATCTTTCCTTTTTGGAAGAAGAAAGGTACTATCTCAGATGACCGTGGCATTCCCATAATCAGAAATAGTTTGATGTTCATTAAAAATCTGCAAAATTAAAAATTAAAAGTTATATTAAGTAAAATTTAAAGATTTTAAATATTTTTTGACCAATACATCATAAATTGTTCAGAAGATTTATATTAAGATTTATACATATCGGCAACTTTTTCAAACGGAAAACCTCGTTTCTCAAATAAATTCTTAAAAACACATATTTAATGTATATTTTTTTTTAAACATCGATTTGATGCATACTGTGGTGATTTTATATCCAGCACATTCCAAATTCTTTCTCAACAGTCAACAGTATTCAATGGTATAAATATATAAATAATATTATATTGGCTAATAAATAAACATAATATATACGTATCGTAAAAATATTATTTTCACAAATATTTTAAGATGATTCGCTAGCGGAATGTACTGTAGTGTATTATGCAATTACCTAATTATGCAAATAAACCCGTCCATCGAGGACATACACGCGATAATCAACAGATGTAGGAAGGTATACTAAATCAAAAATTACGTATCAAATATAATCATTTCGATGGCTAAGAGGCCAAAGTGTGTGTGTCCCCCGAAAATAATTTTTTAAATATTAGGTAATTAACAGACTATATTAGGTAGGCGTTATGTGAATGGATTGTACCCTACTGTATTCTTACTTCTCTTTGTAATCAAGAAAACTTTCCGTTTTTGAATCTGTTGGGTTGAATTTATTGAGTTGTGACTTAATTCTTGAATAATGACTAGCAGTTAACAAGAACAGAACCAAATTGGCAGTCTGCATAACTGACATGCACATAATTAAGAAAATAATATTTCTGAGGTAAGTGCAGTCTGAAAAATATTAAATATAAATTAATGAAAGATCCCTGAGGTCATGCAACATGATGGTTAATAGAGGTAGGTTAACATTTTTGACAAACGTTAATCATTTCGATGGCTTAAAGGTCGAAAGTATTATGTCCAATTTTTCTCAAAATCGTTTTATAAATCTATTGGGTTAATGTAGGTCGTCTTTTTGTTTGGGTAAAACATTTTAAGTCAATATCATAATTATTAGAAAATGTTTGTTTGATACTTTAATTTTTGTGTTTTTATCGCAGTATAGGTTTTTGAGGTTTTTTTTAGCCTATTTATAAAAAATGAATATTTAGATATTAATAATATGTTGATACGTTAAAATATTATTTTAATTTGTTTAACAATCCTGTCATGTTGTGTGTAGTTGTGTCTGCAGATCTATGAGTTTCTTATTTTATTTTAATTGGTTAATATTCAATAGAATTATTTAAACATATCTCAACTTTGGTTTGATATTTTTTTTTTAAATAAATATTTTTATTATTAAGCGTAAAATATACTTTTTATTTGCCAACAGTATTTAGTTTTTGATTCATATTTTAATGAGTAAATTATACTTTTACTTTAATATTTAATTCGTAATTTTATCAATTGAGTATAATATACTGAAGAATTGATAAACTTAAATCATTTTCCGAGTAATTTTCTTTTTATCATTTGTCACTAAATTATATTGTATATTTGTATACAAATTATAACTGTGATTATATATATTTATATTTCTCACTTTTAAAAATTTCATAAAAATACCACCTTTTTATATTTTACATTGTATAAAAAAATCCAATATTTTTTTTTAACCTATTTGCAACAATAATATATACATATTTAATGTTGTAGGTACATCGACAAAATTAGTCTTATCTACATGTTTAACTATTTATATCATTAATTAATTAGAGTTTGTATTAAATTAACAACTTTATAATGTCCATCAAACCCTTGTATGTTCACACTAAAAACACATTATATATATTTTTTTTTATTGAGCTTAAGCCCGGCAATTATGGAAATTATCTGTTTTTTGTTTGTAGGGGGGAGGAACTGTGGGAAGTTTTGGTTTAAACACGTTTGTATGTGTGGCAAGGATTTGTAGCTAAAAAAGCCGGGTGGTCACCCATCCGGGAGCTTGCAACACCATCCGATACGTACACTCAGACCATGTTTGCAGTTGAGTGTATGGACCGCACTACACCAAGCCACCATACATATATTATAATGGCTACTTAAAACAAGTCCCATTTAGATTAAAAATAAACATTATAATTAGATACATTAAAAAAAATGGTAAGGTATTTAAGTTTACAGTTATGTAATCTACAGAATATTTTACAAGTAAATAAGTTACAACACCGAAAAATAAAAATCTAAAACACAAATTATTTGGTGTGGATTAATTTAATATCTTGAAACCGGTCTCTTGTAAAATGTAGTGAGTGTGACACAGGTACGTTACCCTGGCCCCCCTATGTCAGAATTATCTAAAGTAAATTATATCATTAGTTAGTAACCGATTCGTAACCACAAATTCGGAATTCGTAACTTGATTTCCACCGTCGAAAATCCATTTTTCTTCCGGTATCGCTGCGGTAACGTTACACCAGCACCCCAATCAGTGGCGCCGAGCTAATTTAAAAATACTCGGGCAGTCTATGTGAAAAAATAAGCCACCACATAACAAATGTCAAGTATCTACATATATAATATTTATGGTATACACTATATAGAATATATATATATATATAGGTTGAGCGTTTTTGACTTATTAACTCAAAAAACTATAGTGAGTTTACGCTCAACTTTTTTTTAAATTACACTAGACAGTAAAATCATATAAGGAGCCTTGTATTAAATATTCAAGTTTCGTATAGAGATTTTAGCTAAGAAAAAAAATTACAGTTAATTACAACGCAGCTATACTATTTTTATTCGTATGTATATACACGATTAGTAGTCGAAATATAGCTTGGATTTTCAACTTCAAGATATTTTATAATGGAACATACCACTTTCAGCCTGTTAGCCATCGAATATTATATGTTTTAAAGGTAGAAATATCTTATATTTTTATTGGTTGTTATTTTATAATTTTTCATTAATTCATAATTTAGGTATTTTATAATTTGTATATGTTTGATATTTCATGATTTATTTAAAAATAATTGAGTGAACTTACCGTAAAAATAGCATAGAAAGTCTCCAACATAGGGTGATATTTGAAGTATCGTTTGGTTGTTTGAATGTTGAAATAAATATCCAGTAGATACGCAAAAACTTGAAAATCCCCAACAGTAAATTTGGTATAAAATGGTGCGTACTGATGTTGATGTATTTCTGTTTATTGAATTGCTGTACCTAAATTAAAAATGTATTGAAAATATTATACCTTTGCAGATTGCAGTTATACGAACTGTTATAATTTGTACTTTCACATTTTTATGATTTTAATTTTGATTTCTACCTACTAGCTATTCGTGCTGTATGTATGCGTGTTTCATATTATATACTTGGATGTTAAACGGTCCTAAGAAAACGAACTTTCCTACTGATGAACATTGAACAATTATTGACCTGTTGGCTATTGTTGGATTTTAATTTTGAATTATATTTGTTTTTACAGTTTAAATCGATTTTTTAATAAAAATAATAGAACGATTATTATTTTGATTTAACTTTTAATTTCAATATCAATGAATCATTATATTATAAGAGTTTCAATTTTGATATTAGAACTATTGATTTCATAGAGGAGTTTTTTTTTTATTGAACTTGAGCCCGGCAACTTAGGCCATTAGCTTTTTTTGTTGTTATTGTTTGTTTGTAGGTTGTTAGTACTTAGTAGGCGGAGGAACGGTTAAAAACACATTTTTGTACGCGTGGCAATAATTTGTTGCTAAAAATCCCAGGTGGTCACCCATCCGGGAACTAGCAACACTGGCAGTTACTTACACTCAGTGCGTTTCCGCACCACACCAAGCCACAGAGGAATTTTATTGATATACTTAATCGGATAATAAACCACCTATATAGCTATAGGTAATATAATAAATATGCTACTTAATATGCTACTTAATTAACTATAATATATTTAATAACATATATTAATTATTAATATAATACTCCATGTACTATGTAGTATGTACCTGTTCAATTATAATATTAATCATGACTTGTTTCTTTTGTTGGTACATTACTAATGGGTAGGGACGTTTTGATGACTATTAGAGTTACTTCAAATTTACACATGCCGAGAGAGTGGGGCCCTCCACCTCAACCATAAAACCGAAACTGGATATGACGGTACAAATAACAATCCCAAGGTATAATAAATAATAAATTTACTCTCCAATCTCTAATTTATATCCTACTACTTTAATTTTCCACTCAACACAACGATTTGTAAGTCTTATCCCGTACTACTATAATTCTAATAGAATATGAAAAGTTATAGTTATTATTACTAGTCTTATAAGTTGATTTAGATTACCTGCTTACTTATTTGTAGCTTAGAAGTGTATAAGACCACATAAATACACATTATTGTTTCTCACATTTTTATACTATGCCATGTAAGAATATAATTTACGTACCTTAACATCCAGTAAATGTCGAAGCATATTATGTTTAACCAGCAACAGGTTGTCAGCATCGCAAATAAATTAAAATAATCTAAAAATACAATTTTAATTAGCTCAAAATGCATAAACAAATAAAATAATAATTTTTAGAAAAAATATGTATTCCGAGAAGACAAATAATAACGGCAATATTTATTTAGTTTTTATATTTATTGTTGTTTAGTTATAAGATGCATGGACAATAAGTTTCCCCCTCAACAACATTGCAATTTTCAACTCAAATCTTTACCAATATTTTGGAACTTATATGGATCAAATTGGAACTTTGTTTTCCGTAATTATAACTCCATACTTTTCCCAGTAAAATTGTGTTTTGGTTGGCACATTTCTATGATAATTAAATAATTTATTAAGTTACGACTATCTTGATATATAGTGAAACTGAGGGGAATCCACTAATCCACTCTTCAACCTTTATTTAAGGTGGGCCGAATTTGAAATATCCTTCGGAATCGCCGGCCACAATAATGTTTATAGAGGGATAGAAAGTAAAAAAAATTAAGAAAGATAAGAATAATAAAATAAACAGGTAAGACATACTGAATAGAACTCCAAACGGTGGGTTGAATAATAATATGTTGTCTATTATCATAATTTTGTTGATTATTTCGCAGACGAACCACACGAGCTCGCAGGCCATGTAGCACATGACGTAGTAACCGTGGACGTTCCGGAGGTAAGACAGTTTGGCGTACACAAGCAGCGTGAGGGCCAGGCACACGGCAGACGTTACGTAACTAGCCTGAGAAATTAAGTACATCCAGCTACCACGTTTGTCCTTAGCCATGGCAGAGGATTCGGTCTCATTGTCCCATATTATGAACGCATGAAAAGCCTCTTCGGACAATGTTGTATCGATATACTCCACGCAGTAATTCGTGTCCATTACGAGCTTTTTTTTGTCGGTACGGTAAAGGCTGCCATCTGTGGTCAACATGAACACATCTTTTTTCAATATTTCCATATTGGAAAGCTTAGGATTGAATATCAAGTTAGACGACTTCGTTCTGTTCGACAGGCGCACGGGACGGCCGTCTGCATCTGTTTCATAGACGGGCATATTGATCGGCGTCCAGTAAATATTATTATCACGGCAATTCAGACCACTGTATGATATATTATACATATTAGTGTAATTAGAGGGAGAGAATGCTTTGGTGCAATGTAACGTTAAATGCTAATTGTATCTATAATGACAATGTCAATTTAAATGTTTTCTTTTTACAAGATTTAATTGAAATGTTCTCAGTAGGTTAACTAGTAACTTAGGCCTATCCCAATAGGGAAAACCTATCAAACCCAAACACCAGACTACGAAAAAATGTATTAAAACTACAATTATTGAGAACAGAATACTGATAAGGGAATAGAGATAGCTAAAATCAAAAAGAAATTATAACCAGTAATGAAGAATAATATGCTAAAAGAAAATCATGGCGCAGATATTATGCTCACCCACACTCACTACATAGCTAATTTTTACTCAACAGAACTAATTTTGTGTTGTTTAAAATTAGAATGAACGGACTGTTATAAAAACAAATATAAGAGTTAACTGTGTTAATACGTGGGATATTTTGCATTATTTCAATATTTGTCTGTGAAATAATTAGTATTTTTAATTTGTAGTACCTATTTTACATACTCAAACATACAAAACACAGATGATTATCGTCACTTTATAATTAACAAAACGTCAATTCAATCTAATATTTAATGTTTAAATCTAACAACACAAGATTAGTTCTGCTGAATGCAAATTTTTAGTGGCATGCGTGGTTCGGAGAGAAAACAAATAGGTTATGTGCTGACCAGTGGTATACGCAGGAATTTGTTTTTTTTTTTTTTTGGGGGGGGGGTCGCATGAAATAATTTATATTACATAATATTTGTACTTCATTTAAGAATTAATCTTGACTACCCGGTGTCCAGTAGTACTTCTTATAATATATAATTACCTACGTTTTTAAACTTTTAAGCGTGAATAAACATCCAAAGTCAAGTCATGTTTAAGGTATACAAATAGACCCATGTAGGTATATCATATCTCCCATCATTCCCTATGCGTACACCACTGGTTTTGATATCCTTTTATATAATAGTTTACAGTTTTAAAGATAAGTAAACATAATATGGGGGGGGGGTGACATTTCATAACGTACTATTTCCATTCTACACTTTTTTGAGGAATCACGATTTTCTATTTTTAATGAACAGTGAAAATAGTACGTTATGTATTTAACTCAATTATATTCCCTATCTTCATACTATGGAAAATAGTACAATATGCCCTACTTTGGAAATAGTAGGTTTTGTACAATTTGTGGAATTGGTACGTTTTGGGTCAATTTGACCACCCCATTCGATTCCTCGTCCATTTTTACAGGGCCTAAAATTATTAAGATATGTTGCTACTGCACACCTAATTCCATACCAAAATATTTTAAAATAATGAATATAGACCTAGTAGTGCTTGCCCATGCCACATATAACTTCATTGCATAATTTATTGTTTTTGCTATTTATTAATAATAAGTTATAATAAATATAATCTAAGACAATCTTCTATAAAAGTCCTTGCTACCTATATGGCTATATGACTAAACATTTTAAAATTAAAAACGAAATAGGTAGCTTGGTTTAATATACTTACCTATTATATTATAAGCCAGCCAGAATATGGTGTAGTCGGTATTATTTTTGGTCTTAAGGATTTTAAACGAATAAAATATGCTAATTAGTCATTTTCAATAATCAATATAAAAAGCCGGTTGGCGTTAATCTTGTAATAAAAAAAAAAAAAAAGATTGGCAAGTGGATGTCAGTCTGCTCTTACAAGTGGGTCATAGTATAATGGATGGTATTACATTTGAATTCAATGATATAATATCATTGTATGAGAAAATGATTCTGAGTGGAGACTGTATGTAAGTCTGGGTATAAGTTATAAGGCATATTATACACTAATCTATGGTATTAAAAAAAAATTGACCTATAATAAATACCTATAATAAATTCCAAATTAATCATATTACAATATCCATTAGGTACTTATGTGTTCATCAACGATACTATCATAGATATAATAGTATACTTTAGAAGTTTCAAGTACCTACACCCGAATAATATTATACAGTTATTCTAGGTTTTTAATATGTAATTTCGTCCAAATTTGAACTTAAAACGACTATAAAAATAAACTGCGATAATGTATTTTTTAGATTTTTTGTTAACAAAATTAACTACTTACGTGGAATCTTCTTTTAAATTTTCAATCCTTAGATATAAAAGTTGAACATTTTATAAATTTATAACTACAAAATAATTACATTTTAAAGTCTTAGATTTAAAAAGAAAAATTTTTATGAGTTCTTAACTTAAAATAATTTTCTAATTTTCGTGATTTTTCCATATTTTGTCATTTTTTTTAACTTTAAATGCTTAAAAAAAAAAAAACTGTGACCAAGGATTTTTAATATTTTTCAAATGTCATTGTAACAATATAGTAGGAGCCTTGTATTAACCTTGTATTTTTACTCAACAAATAAAGTTTTATTGACATTCATAGAAAAAAAACTAATTAAATTGGAAACTGAAAATGTCACTAAACAGTTCAAAACAAATCAAAATATTTTGAAAATTGTATAGTGTATAAAAATGCAAATAATATAAACAATCAATTAAAATGTCATGTATCTACTAAAGTAATTTGTTTAAAAGTTACACCAAAAATTAAAGTCGATTTTGGGTAAAAATTCCCGTTTTTAATCAATTTTTCTTTTGTTTTTCACTGCGCTTTTGAAAATTACTGGGAATTTTAAACTTTGACTTCCCCAATGCACCAATAATATTCACTTTCCCATTGAATAAGATACTGAAGTTGAAAATCGAAGCATTATTTTGACTAGGTACTTATCGTGTACAGTGCACAGTGTACACAGACATAAAAATAAAAAAAAAATAAAAAAATGCACATCATTGTAAAATCAATACATACATCGTTCTACTCAGAATTTAAAATATTGAATATTATTATAAAAAAAATTATATAAAAAATATTGAATGATAATAATAATAATAATAATTTCAAATATTCAAATAAAAATTTAAAAAGCCGAAAGTAAGTACTGCACACTTTTAAATTTGCTAATGCACATTTAATATTAGCTTCTGCACACAATTTTAGGCACTGCATTTTTACACATGAATCCATGTATAACTCAATTTTGTCAATTTTATTTTGGAAATAGTATGTTTTGAAATGTCGCTCCTATATAAGCTGATCCATTATATGTTAAGTTTACAGCAGATATGTTTGCAGTTGGTTTAGTGATGTCGACAAAAAATGTTTTATCAATTACCATAAAATACATGTAATAAATTATATAAAAAAAATTATGGTGTTATCTAAATCTTAACATATTATGAAGTCTTTTTTTTTTCTCTGTATGCTTAGATCTTTAAAACTACGCAACGGAGAGGTGCTCAAACAAGTATTTTGAGATTTACGATAAACATTTTTGCTTATAAATGGTTGCTATTTTTTATAGTATAAAAAATTAATAAAAAGGTGAGTAAGTGGATTTCGCTCTTCTGTACAGTAGGTTACAAGTGGGTCACTGTCATGGTTGGTGTTAAATTTTAATTCAATGATATAATATCATTGTATAATTTAGTTTTGGATTGGAAAAAATTAAGTACGCTAGCTATAGGGTTGTATAAACAAATAAACTTTTTTTTAACTTAAAAAAAAAATCACAAAAAGTGTGTATTAACATTTAACTTAACTGAGTTAACCTATAGTTAAATTAACTTTTAACTTTTTGTTATTGGTGCATATTTAATTAACTTAACTGAGTTAAAAAAAAAAATCATTAACTTGCCCAGCCTTGATGATTAGTAATATATAAGAGTATACATATATAAGAAAAAAAGTATTCCGAACACTATTCTCACTTCTCAGAATAGGTACTTGTGAAAAGTATTATCTTATTATATTCAAAAAAAAGTATTTAAACATTATTCGGAATACTACCCAAGGCTGAACAAAAGTTAATAAGAATATAATATGATAATAATACATTAAACATTTAATTATATAGGTACTAGGCAGTATTAATACATTGATGAAATTCTAATGATGAATATTAATATATCTTAAATCTTAATAAATGTAATGTTTTCAGTTTTCACCAAGTACGAATTCAACCTTACAGCAGAGCAGTTACCTGTTACCTAATTCCACACTTTTTACATTTCTCCTCGTACTTAAAGATCCACCCCTCAGCCAAATTATATATAATTATAGGTAGCAACTTGTAGGCGCCCACAGGGGGATTCCAAAGGGGCTATGACCCGGGTGAAATTTTATTCTTGGCAGATTTCATATATAAACATGATTGGACTTGGGGGCCACTTTACAATGACAAAAAAAAAACAGGTACTAGGCAACTATTATAGCACAAACACGGTGGATGCTTTCTTCGCATATCAAATTCATTGGTCAATAGCTATAATCTCCATAATACTTAGGTTTCATAATTCATAATATTCATTAATATTTTTACTAAATCACCTCTGTGTGTATTATATATATACACACACATTCGAAATGTTAGCAATCATGACGACTCCTAACCTCCACCATCCCTTTCCCGCCAAATAACCTTAGCACCAGCTGCATCTGTCGATACGCTCGGTATAAGCATCATATACTACTTTATACTTATACATATGCCGCCGTGGACTTACTCGTCGCCGTAGAAGAAAATTTCATTTAAATTGCAGCACTTGTTGACACACGTATAACCGTTCTGGCCGCAGTACTGTTCGCGTGGACGGCCCACTGGAATTCGTCAGTTTGAAGCAGTAGTCCTCCGGCAACTTGACGTCCGACAGTTCCCCTTCGAACAGCCTACGCACCTCTACGACGGGCACGTCGATATCGAGCACGTCAAATCGGAGTAGTACTTGCGTCTCGTTGCAATATACCGCGTGATTATGGTAACCCACCATCACCGCATCGGCCGCTGCCCGGAATCTGACCCGCAGTCGCTGCATCATATTCATTTATTCAAGAATACAAAGGTTATGTATAGTATTATATTATATTATATATATATAGTATATTTTATTACACCTCTATTAACTCGACGAGGTGAATGGTGTTGTTTGCCCAAAACACAGAGTTGAGGCAAAGTGGGACTGGCCAGGCACGTGTCATCTGGTATTTGTGTTTCTTGTTGGTAACACACTTTTCGTTGCCAATCGTCTCTAACTTTGTGTATTTAAAACTGGTACTTTTGGTCGGGGGGAATAATAACAAGGCTCTCTGAAGGAACTCCACAAAAGGTATATCTTTAGTAGTTGATCGTGGTGTTGCGAGATGCGATGTTAAGTCAAAGCATTCATTATATTTAAAAGTATTATATACATCGCAACAGACCCTGGCGTCGGTGGCCGACCAACTGATCGCCACAGCTAGACACGTGACGGTGGCGGTAAAACACAATCGGACGGTATTCATCGTGTGCGCACACTGTTTGGACGACGTCGGCAGTCGGCACATTCACTATCGCGACTGTCGGCCGCCGCGTAGTCTGCGATAGAGACCGTTCGACGCACCGACCACCACCGCCGACTACCACTCTCTTATATCACATTATAAAATTGTAATAACATTATATTGGTTTTCGTTGACTAAATATTATTATATTATCGTGCAATGAATTATGATCATTATGTATATATGTTTATATTTATTTATATTATATTTATATATCATGTTAGGTTTTACGAATTGTCAATATTATTATTAAATATATTATGTCCGGAGGGTTATCGCGTAATTTATTATCACAACAAAATAACGAATTGTCGAACTCCATTAAAAAAAAAACTGCTAAGTAAAAAGAAAAACAGATCTAAACACTATAAATATGTGATATCAAAAATTGTTAAGTTAATTGAATTGGAGTACATTTATTTTGTTTCAATAATTTACCTATTTACTTGGTAAGGAATTAGTTTTCTTAGAAATTTACATTATTACATTGTAAATTATAATGAACTTCTAAAGCCTTTTGTTTATTTTGTTCATTTTATTTTGTATGCTGTGTCATATAAACTATAAAGTATATAATTTCTTGTCAGGCAAACAAATTATTGAAACAAAATAAATGTACTTTAATTCAATTTACTTAGCATTTACTTATGATATCACATCTTTATAGTGCTTAAAGATCTGCTTTGTTTTCTTCACTTAGCTGTTTTTTAAATGGAGTTTGACGAAGTTTTTTGTCGTGATATCACCAATTTTTTAGAAAAGTGTAGAGACAACATGGGTTATAAAGTTTACTCTGTTTCTGTGAATACAGTATATATTACATTATTCAAACTTTGAATTTACAAATGGGTACAGCTGTTGCCTAGATTTATACTATTATCTATATTATATAAAAATAAATGTTTGTGTGTGTGTGTGTGTCCTTAAGCATTTTTAAAGAGTTCATTCGATTTCGATGAAATTTGGTATAGAAATAGATTAGGACTTGTAATGGAGTTATCGGGGCCGATACTCCGTCACTTTAATAATTTATACAAGTAGGTTCTTGTGTAATTACTCTATTTATTTTACATAAAAATATATTTACAAATAAGAGGGTTTTGACTACTCGCGTTCCCGTGACTATCTGATTCGGGTACGAGGTGGTCTTACACAATCGGGTATATTATGTTTTTATTATACATTATCGGGACGATCCGGGTGGCTATGATCAGCCCGCTCGAAAAAGTGGCGACGATCAATAGGCCCGGGCGGGAAGCGTGGCCTAGGCAGGCGCGCTTGGGGGGACCGCCTGTGCGTCGTTGGTGGCCGTGAAAAGGACCGTTTAAATTTCTACCGAGTATACGGGATGAGGCGTGGTTCTTTGACTCCTATTCGAAGCACTCCTGGTTGGTCGGCGGACTTGAGGATAGTCGTCGGCTCCTTGGACGATGGTTGGTAGCCAAGTGTTCGTATCGCCACTACGTGTCGGGTCAGCCCCGCTCCACTGTCTTGATCCGTCGGCGATGTCGGCGGCTGGTTGTGTCACGGTCCGATGGTCTGGACTGAACCGGTCGTGCTTGAGTCGGTCTTCACTAGCGGTGTCCGGTGTCGGTTGTTCTCCTTTTATCCTTCAATAGACGGCAAAGTGTGTTGATTTTTGGAGTCTTGATGTTTTGAAGGTTGAAGGAGTAGTGAGTTATTTGGAAAAATGCACCCGTATATATACCCATTTTTGTTCCGGGTGCTGTTCTCATTGGCGGAGGGCTTTTGTTTTGAAAAGTCAATATTTCATCAATCCCATAATCTGTTAGGCAGATCTGTTGATGTCATTTTCTCGTTGACAATACTTCTTGAAAATCGTATCGTTTTTATGTATTGTATGCTTTTCATGTTACATTATATTGTCGTACGTATTGACTTAGTGGCCGTGAGAACGGCCGTTTTAGGTGTTGTCGTTTGTGCCGTATCAGACTTTTGGAAAAAGATATGCTAATTTAAAAAGGGTAAATTACAAGTCCAACCTGAGGAGGTGCTCAAACAGGGATTATGAGATTTACGATAGAAATCTTTGTTTTTAAATGGTTGCTATTAGTTTTAATAATAATTGTTATTGTTTAAGAGATACGATATGGATAGTAAATAATTTAAGATAATTGTCTGAAATATTATATCTGAAAATACTCAAAAAGAATAATAGGTAGGGTAGGTATGCTTGTTGTCCTACCCTAGTTTATTAATATTTAGTCTGCACCATTTAAATTTTTGTAAAAGAAATTATTCATATTATTCAATTAGTATGCAGTTACTAATTATTTTACGTATTCAATGATTTAAATAAAGTGTTCAGTTAATATTAATTAATGATTTTACATGAGTTACTATACTAGAAATTATATTGAATTCTTTTAAATATTTACTTACCAGTTACTGAGTCAATTAATGATCCAGTTGGAAATTATTCATAAAATCAGAATCTTTACAACAAACACACTAGTTACACAGTTAAATCATACAACACATAATATACCGTAGTTGACTATTCTTAAAAAAAACTGTTCGTAACGAAGGAAAATACAGGACTGAAGAGTATAATCTGAAATTTGTCTAAATTATCTCTAAGTGTGTACCTATAGAAGGTGATTCTTTGATCATGAAACACTCATTATTTCAAAAAGTATTAATGTTTAATACATTTTTATAAAAATAAATATTTTTTTTAAATAGTTTCAAGTTGTTAAAAAGCAACGATTTTATTAAAAAAAATATATTTTTTCCTTATTTTTTTCTTAAGTTTTTACTTTTTTGAATGACAACATAGAGTTTTGATTTCAAAGCAGAATATTTTTCTAAGTATTTTGAAATATAAAAATCGAATTTAGGACGAGTAGTTTATGAGTTATAACTTTTAAGTATTTAAATTTTAGTCAATAGCGGAGTAGTGGACAAACATTTTACGGGGTAACTCCGTACCACTCCACTCCGCCCATCTAAACTTTATAACTCATACACTACTCAACCTAAATTCGATTTTTATAAATCAAAATACTTAGAAAAATATTCTGCTTTAGAATATGAAATTAAAATTAAAATTAAAAATTGTATCGAAAATTGTAAAACATACACTGTAATCAATATTACATTTTTACCGATAATTTATCAGCTATTAACTACTACCCGAGTAACAATTTTGGTGCACATTGGGTGCCCTACATCAATTTTTAGGTTTTTGTTACCGTGCTATAACGGTGCACAGCACTGTGTTTTTGATCAAAATTAATACCGATTTTTTACATGGGAAGCACCGTGCCGATAGAACTCAATAGTCGGTTCAAGAACCGTTTTAGCGTGCAACTAAAATTATAGTTCATTTGTCAGACTAGAGTCGGTGTTCTAACCGTGCGAGAGTGAACAAAGGTACAGTGCCGTAACCGTGTAGGAGTGTTGAAAAATACCGTGCACATACCGTGACAAAAATAAACAAAAAACGTAAAACAAGCAAATTTTTTTTTGCGAGATGTCGAATTCGAACCAGGAACCCCTAAACAACCTATGCGTTGGTAATCCTAATTCCTACCTACCGGGCCACTATCTTAGATATGTTTGTGTGGCGATTCTATAGTATTTAAATCTTTTTGATCATTGTTATTTAAATAACATTCAACAGTTTATATTATAAAATGTTACATTTAAGTATATTTAAATTTCTTAAAACTCAAATATATCCATATTTAAAAAAAAAAATAAAAATTTGTATGTTATAAAAAAAATAGTCACATTATTAAAACAATATTAAAATTTTGATGTAGAACGTTTTATAATATTATGTAAGAAAAAATGTAAGCATAAACATTCAACATGTTATTTTTAATTAATAAAAAAGATGCTCTGCTGTACAGTAGGTTACAAGTGGGTCACTGTATAATGGATGATATTAAATTTGAATTCAACGATATATTATCATTGTATAAGAAAAACGATTCTGAGCGAAGGCGGTATGTCAGTATAGGTATAAGACATATTATAAACATTTCTATGGTATTATAAAAAAAAATGACCTATAATAGGTACCTATAATAAATTCCAAATTAATCATATCACAATATCCATTAGGTACTTATAACGCGTTATACATCAACAAAAACCGTGATACTATCATAGATATATTATAATAGTACACTTTAGAAAATCAAGTACCCACGAATAATATAATTCAATCACAACAAAATAACTAAAATAGTTATTCAAGGTTTTTTAATATGTAATTTCGTCCAAATTTGAATTTAAAATGTCTGTAAAAAATAACTGTGTTCATATATTTTTTAGATTTTTTGGTTATAGTATGAACTATTTATGAGAACCTTTGTTTTAAATTTGCAATCCTTAGCTATAAAAACTGAACATTTTATAATTTATTAATTACAATGATTGATAATTTTCGAGATTTTGATAAATTTTGTCAAAATTCGATCTTTAAATGCTTATAAAAAAAAATTGTGGATATGTATTTTTAATAATTTTCGATTGCTATTGTAACAATATATCAGGAGCCTTGTATTAAATTTTTTTACTTTTTGGCCAAACAGATAAAACTTTATTGATATTTATAGAAAAAAAAACTAAAAAAATTGAAAACTGAAAATGTCCGTAAAAAGCTCAAAAACAGTCAAAATATTTTCAAAATTGTATGGTCTATAGGAAATGCTAATATAAATATTCAGTGAAATTTTCATGTATCTACAATAATTTGTTTTTGAATTACAACAAAATAAGGAAATCGCTACATGAGAAATCGAGTGAATAACCAATGTTGTAAAAATTTGAATTTAAAACGCTCATAAAAATTTAATTTGACTTTCTTATAGAAATTTTTTTTTTGATAAAGGTAGACAAACTTATGAGGAATCTTGTATTACATTTTAAAACCTTAGATTAAAAAAAAAAAATTTTTACGAATTCTTAACTCAAAATAATTAGCTAAT